CGTAACAGCGCAGCGAGCCTCGTGTAGTTCAGTGGGGCCAGAGTTCCAGGGGCAGGAAGAAGCAGGCGGAGAGTATGGTCCTTAGCTAGAGATCTGGTTACACAAAGCTCCCCCTCCTCCAAGCATCCCGTAGCCTGGGGATGACATAAGGTTTGCAAAGTGTCAACTGCCAAGAGAGGGACAGAGGAAGGCCAGGCCATCATGGGTGCCTCCACCCAGGCCTCTCTGTGAATTTCACTTATAGGAGCTGGATATTACTACTTTCCTAGAAACACATTTAATTGGCCTGATGGTTGTATAAGTCTTGTTCTTTCGGCAGGGAGAGTTGGAAGCTGAGCTCTGTGCAGAGTTGATGGTTCTTCATCTGGGAAGCTTAATGTATTCATGTCACTTTGATGTTGGGGAGGGAGGGGCAGTGCCGGGAGTCTGCCCGTCTCGTAATTGCTAGAGATTGCCAACACTTTGCTTGTTAGCACACCTGTCACACACAAGCAGATTTTTTTTTTCATGCTTGCAAGTCCCAGACGCACAGGTGCTCACTAAGCCACTAGCCCTGCTCCAAATTCCCCCAGGGCTGGGAACCTGGCATCCGGTGCCTACTCCTGGAACACTGCCTGCAGAAATGGCCTCATCTTGCCTCGTTGCTTCCTCCCGGCAGAAGACAGCAGAGGCACCAGGTCATGCGCTGGCCTCGATGAGCCCCAAGGGACACCGGGATGTCCCTTTTCCCCTGGGAACACTAAGGTATCATAAGGCGTTCGCAGCTGGGTCTGTCACCTTGGTTTCTGATTCAAACATAATCTGGTGAGGCTCTGACCACACTGCACCCGGCTACCCAGTGAATGGAGCTTTTGTCTGGCCTGCAGCAACAGTCACCCCGGGAGAGGCTGAGCCACCGCTCTGTCCCCTTTTCACTGTGGTTCTTGCCCCAGGCCCGTTGCTTCCTTCACACCGTGAGCTCCTCCCCAATTCTGCTGAATGTTGAATTTCCTCCTGGCCCCCCTCTACCCCGATTCCTTCTCCAAGACTCTGTCCTTGACCTCTTAACTGATCCCACAACTCTGGCTGGCTGCCAGGGTCCCTGTTAGTCCACTTGCCTTGTGTCTTGGCCTGGAAATTCTCATAAGGCCTTCAATGGAGGCAACTGTACAAGTTGCTTTAAAGGCATTTCTCACTTTTCAAGGACCACCTTCCTCCAATGGCTAACGTCCAGTGTCTTCAAAATCACTGTTTTATGTATTTTGTGCTTTGGGGGGGCACGTGAGAGGCACAGCACTCAATGAGGGCTATCATTCCTACTGTGGCCAGTTGCAGAATAAAATTTTAAATGCATTGTCTTTTTATTTTTTGATTTTTATTGGAAACTTGGATACACAGAAAGGAGGAGAGACGGAGAGGAAGATCTTCTGTCCATTGACTCACTCCCCAAATGGCTGCAGTGGTCGAAGCTGGGCTGACCCAAAGCCAGGGACCAGGAGCTTCTTGATGGGTTTCCAGGTGGTTACAGGGGCCCAAGGACTTGGGTCATCCTCTGCTGCTTTCCCAGGCACATTAGTAAGGGAGCTGGCTTGAAAGCGGAGTGGCTGGAGGCCTAGCAGCTAAAGTCCTTGCCTGGCATGCACTGGGATCCCATATGAGCGCCGGTTCTAATCCCGGCAGCTACACTTCCCATCCAGCTCCCTGCTTGTGGCCTGGGAAAGCAGTTGAGGACGGCCCAAAGCCTTGGGACCCTACACCCATATGGGAGAACCAGAGGAAGTTCCTGGATCCTGGCTTTGGATCGGCACAGCACTGGCCATTGCAGTCATTTGGGGAGTGAGTCATCAGACAGAAGATCTTCCTCTCTGTCTCTCCTCCTCTCTGTATATCTGCCTTTCCAATAAAAATAAACAAATCTTAAAATATATATATATATAGGCAGACTACCAATGACTGTCAGGTACCAAAGAAAATCTGTAATGGGAAAGACTAAATGACAAATCAAAGAGCAGAAAAACATGCAGGAGGTAACAGGTACAATAGAGAGGACTTAAAATCCTAGAGAGACTTTGAGATCATGGAATAAGAGTAGCATCCGAGAATCCACTTGGTGCAGGAGAATCAAGACAAGAAAATGATAGGGAAGGGAGGAAAAGATAAGAAACACACACGTCCCAAGTCCAGCATCTGGGTAATAGGAATTCCAGAATAACCAAAAGGAGGAAATCATTAGCAACAAGGTTCCTGGTCAGGCAGCATGAGAGCTCCACGGGCGCCCGGCACAACACACGGCGACAGACTTCAAGTCTCACACAGGGCTGGCTAACGTTACAGGGGTAAGGTCTAAGCTTACAACATCCCGTGTTCAAGTCTTGGCTCTTCCACTTCTGATCCAGCTCTCTACTAACACGCCTGGGAAAGCAGCACCGGCCGTTGCGCTCACTTGTGGAGTGAATTATCGGACGGAAGATCTTCCTCCCTGTCTCTCCTCCTCTCTGTATAGCTGACTTTCCAATAAAAATAAATAAATCTTAAAAAAAAAAAAAAGAAAGAAAAATGCATCCCCATCCCCCATGCCTCCTCTCTCTCCAGCAGGTCCTTCCCAAGAAAGGAATGGGAGCATCTCAGGAAATGTGCAGGGAGAGCCGCTGACAATGGCCGGGAAGGGGCAAGACCAGTCTGGATGGGAGCCGGCTAAGAATCGCTGACAACACGGATGATGTGTTGGTCTTTAGATGAGTTGGGGCTTGACCTAGTGACAAGTAAGAAAACTAAGCCAAGAAAAATATAGGAGGATTATGACTTCTGGGGAAGAGAAAGGCCCACAGTAATCTGGTCTACTAGGTGGGTCAGTGGTGACTCGAAGACCCAGTGACTATGGCAGAACCAGAATGACAACCAGGGAGATGGGAGGCGCATGCGTGGTGGGTGGAAGAGTTCAAGATATGAAACAGCAAGGAGTGGCCATGCAGCTGCAGGGGGGGAGCGAAAGGGACTTATCTCCTTCGCCCACCTCTAAGATTTCCCTTTTTTTCCCTTAAAGATTTATTTTTATTGGAAAGTCAGATATACAGAGAGGAGACAGAGAAACATCTTCCATTAGTTGATTCACTCCCTAAGTGGCTACAACAGCCAGAGCTGCACCAATCCTAAGCCAGGAGCCTCTTCCAGGGCTCTCATGCGAGTGCAGGGTCCCAAAGCTTTGGGCTGTCCTCTGCTGCTTTCCCAGGCCACCAGCAGGGAGCCAGATGGGAAGCGGAGCAGCCAGCAGGGCTGAATCAAACTGAGGCCAGCTGTCCAGGAGTTCAGACCATCACCCTCTGTCTCCCAGCAGGCATTAGCAGGAAGCTGGCTCAGAAGTGGCAAAGCTGGGACTTGAACTGGCCCTCCAGGATCTGGGCTGAATTCCATTAAGTCAGCGATTCAGCCCAAGGGTACAAATCAGTATTACGAAGCGTAAAGTGTCAGTGCAAAGCCAGCTCTGATTAGAGCTCCAGCTGTGCCAAGTGCTTGGGACCCTGCTACCCGCACGAGGTCCCAGTGGAGTTCTAGGTTCCTGGCTTCAGCTGACCAAGCCCAGGTCACTGTGGCCATCTGGGTAGCGAGCCAGCTGATGGAAGATCTAGCTCTCTCTCTCTCTCTCTCTCTCTCTCCCTCCCTGTGTAACTGACTTTCAAAGACCCCAGCAGGGAAGAGGGAAAGCAGTCCGTTAAGGTTGCTGGCGGGGAGCCCAGCTTCTCCCTGAAAAACCCCACTGCCTAGGGGGCTCCGTGTGCACAGTTCTCCCTTGCACTTGAGAGCCAGTCAAGGCCCTAAATGACGGTCTCTGAGGGAGCCATCACAGCTCCCAGGGCCGGTGACAGCAGGAAGCTGGAGCGAGGGGCCAGCTATCAACCCCTGCTTTACTCTGGTTTGAGACTTTTTTTTAAAAGATTTATTTTTATTATTATTTTTTTTTATTGGAAAGGTGGATATACAGAGAGGAGAGACAGAGAGGAAGATCCTCTGTCCGATGATTCACTCCCCAAGTGAGCGCAACGGCCGATGCTATGCCGATCCGAAGCCAGGAGCCTCTTCCGGGTCTCCCACGCGGGTGCAGGGTCCCAAAGCTTTGGTCCTCAACTGCTTTCCCAGGCCACAGGCAGGGAGCTGGAAGGGAAGCGGGGCTGCCGGGATTAGAACCGGCGCCCATATGGGATCCCGGGCGTGCAAGGTGAGGACCTTAACCACTTGCGCCACCGCGCCGGGCCCTGGTTTGTGACTTTCGTGAGGATCCGTTCCCTAACTCACAGGGAACAGAGGAGCCCCCAATCACTTCCTAATGTGACTGCTCTATACACTGCACCATTGGTTTGGGATGTCTGGACTAAAGATCACTCCACTTACTTCATATACTGTCTCTCCTCTCTGATTTTCTGATAAAAATGAATAAATCTTTAAAAAAAAAAAATCAAAACAAAGTGCCATGCCAGACACATCCCAGCCTGCGGGCTTCTTATTCTTTTTTAAAGACTTACTTATTCTTATTGGAAAGTCAGATATACAGAGTGGAAGATCTTCCATCTGCTGATTCACTCCTCAAGTGGCTACAACAGCCAGAGCTGCGCCAATCCTAAGCCAGGAGCCAGAAGCTTCTGGGTCTCCCACGCAGGCACAGGGTCCCAAGGCTCTGGGCCATCCTCGACTGCTTTCCCAGGCCACCAGCAGGGAGCTGGATGGGAAGTGGAACAGCCAGGACATGAACTGGTGCCCATATGGGATCCTGGTACATGCAAGGCAAGGACTCCAGCCACCAGGCTACCGCACTGGGCCCAGCCTGTGAGTTTCTTTGTGAAGTTTTTCCTGAGGTGAACTCTTCTGGTTCTAATCAGTGGCTGTCCAGGAGGGGTAGCTAAAACACCCATTGGCAGGGGGCCTGGCATCGCCCAGAGCAGCTCCCATGGTACCGATGTTGAACTGGTTGCCAAAGCAAACTCCAAATGAACGCACAGTCCTTTAAAAAAAAGAAACCACACACAGAAAAAACCAAACAACCGGATTTATTTAGTTTCAAACTTCCCCTGATCTAAAGAGAAAGATGCTGAAAGGAAACCCAGAACACACACACTCGAGCACCCACCCCTGAACCCAGATGACCTGGACGAAAACAAAGGCCAAAGTTCTGTTCAGCAGGGAGTTATCTTCGCTTCTGGAAGATGTTTCCACGGCCCATGCCACGGCCTCTTCCTCTTGCGGCCACTGAAAGGGAGGAGGAGAAGGGCTGAGGCCGGGGGAGTCTAGGCCCTGGGACATGGGTGCTGGAAGGGGACCTGCACCTTCTGGTGCCAGAGGGTGGGACACCAGGCAGAGGGCAAAGGTGGCCTCAGGATTATAAGGAAGGCATACCCCCAGGCTGAGCTAACAAAACAGGCCTGAACACAGACACGCCTAATTCCCTTTGTGAATTCTGAATTCACATCCGCTGAATTCGGGTGTGTGTGTGTGTGGGGGGAGGGTCTTACTGTTCTTTTGAGTGTTTCGCCAATTAAGAAATATTTCATAACAGCACAAGCCAGAAAAAAAATCCTTCTCACCCAGAGGCTACGGTGAGGCAGTAGCTTGCTGCGACCTGCTGGTTCTCAGAGGGCCCAGGCACAAGTCAGCAGCAGGTTTGGGCCATTCAATGCCAAGTGTCATTGTGTGCACAGCCACAGGGCTAGGAGCACACTGCCACTAGCTGTCCTGAGAACACATTCTGCAAAGGGGAAGTCTTCTAGAAGTTCATTTTAGGAGAACTTGTCATGTAAGACTCATGTGGAGGTGGGAGAAGCCCTGACTGGTGAGGTAAACCAAACAGCAGGCCTGCAGGACCTCCCAGGGCAGTGGGTGTGGAGATGGCTGAGGTCAGGATCCACCCATGCCTTCTTTTAACCCCATGAGGCGAGCCTGTATTTGGACACCAGCACAAGGGAACACCTACCCTGGGCCTTGAGAATGGCAGCTTTCCCTCGGCCGGCCCCTGAGCCTTGGTTCTTGTTTTTCATGCTCTTCAACATGGGTGCATTTTTCAGCATGTCGGGCAAAATCAGAAAGCGGATCTTACTGCCACGGATGTACACCTGCTCCAGCTGCGCCACGCGGCCATCTCTGTAGGTGACTGTGATGTTGGACATCTGCAAAGGAATCACCAGGCCATCAGTCAGGGTCATCTGCACCAGAGGAGGATGGGCGCACACCGGGGCAAGTCCAGAAAGGCAGAAGCCAGGCAGGGTGTGACGTTCATACAGTGGCTGGCGCTTGCTGTGCACATGCTAGGGATCGCATGAGTCTCCTCACACCAGCAGTCCTCCCAATCCCTAGAGACTGGGACCAGCTGGCCTGGGGGAGAACCCTCCCCAGTGAGAAGGTGTCCGCTGTAAACGCCTGCACAACCTGTATCCTCCCCATCACCTCTGCTTTGGTGCTCAGACCACAGAGGCGCCCCAAAGGCCGCACGTGCTGCTGACCTCCCAGAGTGCACGCCTTAGAAGTCGAGTGGCTAGGGATTAAGAAATAGGGGTTACACTGCCTGCCCAAGAGGTCCGGAATACCAGGGAGGTGTGAAGTAGCCAGTAGCAGAATCATGTGGCTGGGGCTGAGGGTACCAGGCGTATTTGTGCAGAGGGTTGGCAGGGGTAAGTTGCACCTAGGGAAGGTGAGTAAGGCCACATGGGCAGACTGCGGGATGGACTGAGAAGCCGACAGATGAGAGCGGCCAGGGACCTGCCTGGCACGGAGAGCTGGCACAAATCTGCCAGTGCCAACCTCAACAGACACATTTACCAGAAAAGGTAGCTTATCTGATGAGTCTTCTGGATAGAAATGACCAGGAGATGCCATGGAGGGGTGACCGGGCCCCACATCTCCATAATCCTGCCGCAGGCCCTGCAGCCAGCTTCACAGGTATACCTCTACTAGGCAGAGCCATGGGACCCCGCATCCACGTGGGAGACCTGGAAGAGGCTCCTCGTTCCTGATCGCTCAACGCTGCCTCTTGCAGCCACTTGGAGAGCAAATTAGCAGATGGAGGATCTTTCTATCTCTCCTTCTCTCTGTATATCTGACTTTCCAATAAAAATAAATGAATTAAAACAAAAAACAAAAACTATGAAATGTCCAAGCACTCGAACCGTGGCCACAGAGGTGAGGGCACCCTCAGGCTTCTGGGAAACCACTGAGGAACTTCCAGACCCTTTTCAAAGTAGATTCCCAATAAAATCTACAGCCTGAAAACTTCTGCCCCAAGGCCACTAAAAATGTCAATAAAATAAAAATAAAACCTAGGTGCTTATTACTCCTCACTTTAAAATCTCCTTTCACGATTCTAGTATGTTACTAAATACTTGATGAGAAACAATGGCTGCAATGGCTGGAAGAAGCCAGGAGCCGGAACTCCGCCAGGTCTCCCATGTGGGTAGCAGGTACCACCTTCCGCTACCTTCTAAGGAGTATTGGCAGGAAGCTGGGAAAGAAGTGGAGTACTGGACTCACCACCATGCCTATGGCACCACAGATGGCACTAGCTCTCAAATGGTCTTTCTTAAACACCTGATTTTATTTTTTTAAAAAATATTTATTGGGCCCTTGCACGCCCAGGATCCCATATGGGCGCTGGTTCTATCCCGGCAGCCCCGCTTCCCATCCAGCTCCCTGCCTGTGGCCCGGGAAAGCAGTCAAGGACGGCCCAAAGCTTTGGGACCCTGCACCCGCGTGGGAGACCCGGAAGAGGCTCCTGGCTTCGGATCGGCATAGCATCAGCTGTTGCACTCACTTGGGGAGTGAATCATCGGACGGAAGATCTTCCTCTCTGTCTCTCCTCTCTGTATATCCGCCTTTCCAATAAAAAAAAATAATAAAAATAAATCTTTAATAAAAAAAATATTTATTACAAAGTCACATATACAGAGAGGAGAGACAGAGAGGAAGATCTTCCGTCCGATGATTTACTTCCCAAGTGACCACAATGGCTGGTGCTGCACTGATCTGAAGCCATAAACCAGGAACTTCTTCTAGGTCTCCCACACGGGTGCAGGGTCCCAAGGCATTGGGCCATTCTCCACTGCTTTCCCAGGCCACAAGCAGGGAGCTGGATGGGAAGTGCGGCTATTGGGATTAGAACCACGTCCATATGGGATCCCGGGACATGCAGGCAAGGATTTTAGCTGTTAGGCTTCCACGCTGGCCCGGCTTCTTAGTTTTGACATTTAAGGACAAAATGCTTCAGGCCCGTGGAGAGTACATGCGACCCCAAACAGAAGCCTCCCTGTAGTGTGTATGTGTAGGCTATTGTTCTTTTTCCTGTTCTGCTCTTTCTTTTCCTTTCTTGCTTTTTAAGAGTTTGCCTAATTAAAAACAGAGTAATGGTGGGAGCAGCAGAGTGATCTTCAATCTTCTGGCTTACTTTGCAAATGTACACAGTGAAGGCAAGACCGGGTCAAAGCCAGGAACCCAGAATTCCACATTGGTGTCCCACGCAATTGGGCCATCACTGGCTGCCTTCTCCGGCACATAACAAGGAGCTGGATCAGACGCTGAGCAGCTGGACCTCAGCGTGGCACACACAAGTGCTGGTAGCTGAACCTACTGTGCCATAGCGCCAGGGTCTATGCACTTTGCACCACACTGGCTGTGTCTCCCAGAGCCCGAGGGTGGCTGGGCAAGCACCCGCCCACTACAGAGAGGAGGTCTGCAGCCCTGAAGCCTAGCTAATTGCTCAGCCACATTACTCAGGTGAACACACACACACACACACGCTAAAGCATCACTTACTGAGGGCCCTGCACCACTTACTGAGGGCCTTAGCACCACAAGCTAAGCTGTCACCTGCCAGACCGGCAACCCCCATCGGAGTGCCAGTTCAAGTCCCAGCTGCTCCACTTCCCATCCAGCTCCCTTCTTATTCACCTGGAAAAGCAGAGGATGACGGCCGAGTGCTCGGGCCGCTGTCACCTACATGGGAGACTTTCATGGAGCTCCAGGTTTCTGGCTTGGGCCTGCCCCAGTCACTGCTATCGCCACCATTTTGGGGGAGTGAACCCGTGAATGGAAGATCTCTGTGTTACCACCTCCTTCAAATAAATAAGCACATCATTTTATGTTTGAAATAAAAACAACCACTATCCCCAACTTCTGCAGTCTATTCACTGAATTCAAATGTTTCCAATCTGATGAGGCCACCCAGGTCAGAGAACTGGATCTAGGAGAGCAGCATGTCACGCAGGCCCCGGGGTACCCTGGGCAGGCCCTTGAGAACAAAGCTGACCACCTGCCAGGGCCTCCTGCTGCAGAATACACACACAACCCACACCACAGCACTCGTCCCTGCACCACCAGCAGCTAAGAGCTGGCTGTCTCCCGCCATGCCAGAACCTGGGCTGAGTAACCCGACGGGAAGATGGACGGGAACGGGTACAAAGACTCGCAGTCAGGACACCTGACTGGGCCGATGCACCTCAACCCTCACACTTCTGGTGTTCTCTGGGAAACCCTCGGAGATGCCGTATCTAGAACACTTTAGGGTACACAGGGCAGTGAGCTATAGTGAGCACAGAACCTGCTGGAAAAATTTTGAGTTGGTTTGGCCCAATGCTGCTCAGAGATCTCAACAGAGAAGTGGCCGAGTCTGGAAGCCCCCAAAGCGTCCTGAGGCCACATTCTTCCCAGGGAGCCAGGAGACACACAAGGGCTAGGCCATGCTCCTCTAAGACACACACAGTGTGGCTTCAGGCGTAACCCTCCTTGCACTACCATCAAACTGCGCCACCCCAACACCCTGCAAACCCTCCAGCCCACCCGTTCTCTCATCTGAATTCTGTCATCCACTGTACCTCTCAGCACTGCCATCTCGGGGCACCTATAACATCACTGCTGTCTTACAGAGGAAATTCATGTGATTATCACACGAAAGGTCACGTAATCAGGGTTCAAACTCACACCTCCCTGAATTCAAAACGCAAGTGCTCAATTTATTTGCTCTCCGTGATTTATAATTTATGGGCCAGGCGCGATGGCCTAGTGGCTAATTCTGACATTGCCCGTACCAGGATCCCATATGGGCACTGGTTCTAATCCCAGCTGTTCCACTTCCCATCCAGCTCTCTGCCTGTGGTCTGGGAAAGTAGCAAAGGATGGTCCAAAGCCTTGGGACCCTGCACCCGCAATGGAGACCTAGAAGAAGCTTCTGGCTCCTGGCTTCGGATCAGCTCAGCCCTAGCCATTATGGACACCTGGGAAGTGAACCAGCGGGTGGAAGAGCTTTCTCTCTCTCCTTCTTTCTATAAATCTGCCTTATCAATATTTTTTAATGCCTTATCAATAAAAACAAACCTTTAGGTATTTACAAAAAAAAAAGGGGGTTGGATCAGGAACCAAGAACAAAGCTCAGGCTCTTAACCAGCGGTGTGAAGAACAAAGCGTGCCATGCACTAGCACTGTGGTGCAGCCTTCTGTGTCGGAGGCAGCCCTGCCCGTGCCCTGGCCGCTCTGCTTCTGAAGGCAGTGCAAGAGGGTCCGAGCGCGTGGGCCCCTGCCACCCACAGGGGAGAGCTGCCTGGCTCTGACTTGGCCCAGCCCTGGTGCTGCCAGCATCTGGGGGAATGAAACTGCAGATGAAAGACCTCACTCTCTCTTGCCCTTCCGATAATTAAATTTTGGGGGGCAAAGGGGAAAGCAGGCTGGCATACTTTGCAAAGACAAAGACAAGCTGCCGACAACAACCTGAATAACACCTTGAGAAAGCAGCCTGGCCGTTTATCAGCAGAACGCCAGCCAGTAGCCGAGTCCCAGAATCTCCCTCCCCCTTGCTTTCAGGGTGCTTGCCTTCATCGCTGACCAGTGACCCCGCTGGGGGGCTATGATGACCAAACAGGACTCCTCCTCCTCCCAGGAAGGGAACCCACAGGCACGGCGTGTGAGGGGACGGGCAAGGTGTGTGAGGGGATGGTTCTACCAACTGCCAAGTATGCAGGAGCCCGGGGGAGAGGGGTGGACAACACGAACGGTAGTGAACTGGCCGCAATGTGGGGAAGAAGCCAAAAGACCCATGATATTCCAAACCTTCAACAGTTTTTCTGCAACCCTCCCCCCGCCAACCCCTTCATTCGTCTAATTTGTGTCTGCGAGACCCCAGAGCTTGGGACAGCGCCTGGAACACACAAGGTGCCCCGGCGAACAGCTACTAAACACATGGAAATCATGTCAGCCGCCTGCGCGCAGAGCAGGTTACCTGGCAGTTCATGTTGTCCTCGGCTTCGATGAGCTTCCCGCGGTACACTTCCCCGGTGTTAGTCTCGCAGGTCACGATGTGGCCCTCGGCCTCGTGCAGGACTTTAATTGGCACACCAATAGACATCCTGGCAGCAGGAAGGGTCCTGTGGCGAGAGATGCAACAGTGAGCTACCCTGTAGAGCCGGCAGGCAGCACGGGTGTGTGTGTGCGCGCGTTCATCCGCCCCAGCGACTGGACCCCATCCGGCACAGTGCTGTTTTCTCCATGGAAGAGTAGCAGCTCAGCTCCTGGCCTGCAGGAACCTTTCCAACACACGGAAAAGGTGAAGAAGGGGAAGGGTAGTGTGCTGGACAGAGGGCAAGTTAAAGAAATGTGGGGCCGGCGCAGTGGCACTGCACGCTAACTCTTTGCATCAAGGCACCAGGATCCCATATGGGCAATGGTTTGTGTGCCAGCTGCTCCACTTCCCACCCAGCTCCCTGCCTGGGGCCTGGGAAATCAGCAGAAGACTGCACCAAGTCCGTGAGCCTCTGCACCCACGTGGGACACCCAGAGGAAGCTCCTGGCTTTCTCCGTTTCAACCTGGTCAAGCCCTTGCCATTGTGGCCACCGGGGAGTGAACCAGCGCATGGAAGATCTGTGTCTCTCCTCTACCTTTCAAATAAATAAATCAACCTTAAGAGGAAAAAAAAAAATGACATAGTTCAGCTGACCACTGTTCACAGGCACTCCCTAAAAAAAAAAAATTTTTTTTAAATGAAAATGAGAAAACTAGCTCCTCCATTACAACAGCCACACGCCGCAGGTGGCTGGTGGATGGCGCAGCTCTAAACCCAAAGGCCTCGGACACGACCAGCCTGGGTGCGATCAGGGCCCGGACAGGCTCGCTCGGTGAGAGCCCCGGGGCCGCAGCCGGGACGAGCGCCGAGGCTCAGGGGCGCCCAGAGGGGTGCTGGCCGGGGCTCCCCGCACACTGCCTGCCCCAGCCCTGCACGAGCGCCTCGCCGCCGCTCGCCCGGCCCCTGCTCACCGCCTCGTGCCCCTGCTTCCTTCACTTCAGGACGCGGCCGGAACAACCGCGCAGCACCAGGCAGGCGTGGGACGCGCGAATGGCGGACCCCGAACTCCCACAAGGCCGCGCGTTCCCAAAATGCCGCGCGCGCCAGGACCGCCCCCTCCCCGCCTTCGTCTCCGCTTCCTTTTTCACTCCGCCGACTGGGAAACGGCCACCCAGTGACAACAGTTCCGTAGCCGAGGACGGGGGCTCAAAGGGCCGGCCGGAAACACCGGCTGAGTGGGGCGGGCGGCTGGGCGACGAGGTGGGCGTCCTCGGAGCGGGGACAGCAGGAGGTGGGAGGGAGGACCCGCAGCGGCCCTCGCACAACGTCATCGCACACGCGTCAGGAGGAGGAGCAGGGCTGCGCAATTGTGGGGCGGGACCAGGGCTTTACACCTGCAGCCGCTCAAGGGGCGGGGCCCGGCAGAGGCGGGGCTCGCTGAAGGACAGCTTGGGGAGCCAATGATAGCGATAGTCTAGGCTTTTAGGGCGGAACTCAGAAAGGGGACGGAGATTCCAAGGATGGAAAGGCCGGCTCGTCGGCGGGACGCTGACGTCAGGGAACGGGGCGGAGCTAACTAGAAACCGAGTCTGTGAATGGCCAGGACGGGCTTCCATCCTGCGGCCGGGAGCCTCTAGGACACCGAGGTGTGGGGCTGGCGGGGGCGGGGCCTGGGCGGGGCGGGGCCTCGCCGTGGGGGCGAGGCGGGGCTTGGGGCTGGGCTGGGCCGCCGCCTGCCACCCGAGCTGCTTTTCCTCACCGTGGCGGCGGCGGCCAGGGCCACGGCGACAGCGGCTGGTTTCCCTACGCGTTAGCTGCGCTCCTGCACCGGCCGGACGTGAAGCTGCAGCCCGCACCGGGCCGGGGCCATGGGCGCCCCGCGCTGCCCGGGTCATGAGGACGGAGGCGGAGGCAGCGGGGTCGCCGCTCGAACCGGGTCAGTGCCCCTTTCTGAGGCCCCAAACGGACGAAAACCGAAGGGAAGAAGAGGGAGACCTCGCCCTTAGCGCCGAGCCGTCCTCGGGCCGCTGTGGAGGGAGCGCTTGGCGGAGCCGCCGCCTGCTCCCACCCGCAGCCTCTGGTCCGCTGGGTCAGTCAGCTGTGCTGGCCATCACGTGGGAGGGGGACCCCGGGTGGCCAAGGCTGCCACCTCTCCCTTCCCCGTCCCTCCTCCCTCCCCGAAAAGGAAAAAGTCCTGCTTGGGAGATCTCGTTCCTTTCTGCCAAGATGGGCCAGGGAGACACCACCGGCCCTTCCCTGTGGCTGCTTCTGTCCCAACGTAACCCGAGCCCCCTTGGGCTGCAGATGGTCAGTCTGGTCATTCGCGGTGTCCTGGGCTTCAGTTTGCTTGTCCAAGGAGGAGGGGAGAGAGGAAGTGGGATTCCTCGTTGTGCTTAAGTTAGAGGCTTAGTGGGAAGAGAGGATGCCCACTGATACCTGGGAGGGGTCAGGAGTAGGTGGGACCTCAGCAGCAACTGCCACCCCCCCATGTAACTTCATATTCCTGCTCCTGAAGTTATCTACTTAGAAGACAAGAGTCCTACCCAGTCCATGCCGGGGGAGGGAGGGAGGCAGGTGCCACACCCAGCTGGTCAGGATCCCCACAACCCTCAGATCATCAGCCCCTGAGGGGTTCGATACCCATGGTCCCCTGGACCACCTAGCAGCAGCCACCAACTGAAGCCAGCTGAGGAGGCTTTCAGGCATCGGCATCAGGCTGGGTGTCTTTGGGCTCTGGAAGCTTTGGCTTTTATCGGGACCAGTGTCAAGGTGGCCTCAGCCTCCGCTTATCACACTCCACAGAAGTGCCCGGAGCCCTGTACGCTAATCGGCCAAGACTGGGCACTGTGTCTAGACTAGTGGGACTGGAGGACCGAGGGGTGCTAGGGCTTGGGGGGTTAGGAAGAGGAGAGGAGGGGAGTCCCCAAATGCCTTCAGGAGCAGCTCTCCTGTGCCATGCTTGGCAGCTGGCCATGGGGGTGGCGGGGAAGGCAATGCCAGCCTGGCGGAAGATGGCCCTAGTCAGTGCCAGAGGTCAGGTCCCGGAGTACAGAGAGAACCTGGCATGGAATAGTCTGGAAGCTGGCAGGGAGGAGGGGGCTACCACACCGTAGTGACAGCTGGCCTGGGCAAATCGAGACATATTTTGACGTATTTGTAGGGGGAAACCTCTTTTATTCAGTAAGCATGTGTGCTGTGGGCTGAGGGCTAGGAGACAAGGGTCATCATGTCCCCACCTGCCACCTGGGAAGTCTTAGTACACCCTTCACTCCCACCCCTCTGGAGGACCCCGGATCACAGGGCCCCCCAGGAGGGACAGGACCGGGACATTTTGGATGACCTGTGATGGGAGACAGCAATGTCACAGACCAAGGGTTATATAAGAGCCAAGCCTGGGGAGTCACCAGCCTGTGCAGCGCAAAGCGGGAGCCAGGCAGAGTGGAGGGGGTTGAGGAAGTCCTCCCACTCTGTAGGCAGGCACCCCTCGGAGCCTCTGCTGCAGCCCCAGTGCAGGGAACTGTGGAATCTAAGACGGTGGAGGTTGGAGCCAGGAGTCTTGGGGTGAGGGGGCCCTTTCTGTTCCCAGAGCCCAGCACACAGAGAGACAATGCTGCTTGTCTTCCGGGGACTGTTTACTCCTAAGCCTGGGGGGCCCCAGGCACTGGGGAGTCATCCTGAGCTGGATTAGCAGGTTCCTTGGCTAGCCCAGGTGACCCATAAACAACAGTAACTGATTTTTCTCACAGTCCCACATCAAGGCTCCGGGCAACTTGGGTGTCTGCTAAAGGCCCTTTTAAGATGGTGCCACCTGGTTGTCCTCTGTATGGTCCAAGGGGCAGAAGAAAGAACTGAAAGAAGGGGGGGAGGGGTGGTGAGGTGCTAATCCAGCCAGGAGTCAAAAGTGGTGATCAGCAGCCCTCTGCAGGGTTTAAGCCTCCACAGGAGTTTGGGAGTGGATACTTTGAAACCAAACACCTGCCTGTAGGAAGCTTACCATTTGGGGAGGGGTAGGAGACTATATAACCTTTTACTTCTACTAAGTTACTTTCACTAAGCCAAGTGGAGGAAAGAAACAGGATGTGAAGGAGCCTGAAGGAATGGAGGGATAGAGCTGTGGGAGGAAGAGGGAGGTGAAAGCAGCAGGTAACTTAACCGGGAAAAGGCAACACAGGTGAGAGTCAGGGTGAGACTTGGGTCTGCAGGCCATGGTCAAGGGCAATTGTTTTTTCCCCTCCTCAATGCAGCCAGAAATTAGATGGGATCTTTCTCTGCAGCAGGGACTCCGGGGGAAGAATTTGTGGTGGAGGACAGGCAAGAGGAAGGGTCTTTGAGTTCCTTTTAGAGGCAGCCAGAGACAAGCGGGCATAGCCTCTGCCTGGCCTTACCACGCACCAGCTGGGAGGCACGTGCATAGCAGCCCCTGCCCAGGACTTTATGTACTGCGGACTTACGGTGATTCATTTCCCAGAAAAGGAAGTCAGGTGTTGGAGCAGGTGGCCTGCCTCACCTAGGCTGATCTGCTTTCTCCAGCCCCCTGCCACACACCCTGGGAGGGGAGTGGAGGAGACAGAGGCCCAGCTCAATAGCGGTCTCGGGGCCCTGCCTCGCGGGGACATCTAGGCAGCCCAAGGTTCCGTGCTAGGATCCAAAGCCTGGTCTCACCCCCAGAGGAGTACAGTGGCAAAGGTTGAAGGGCATGGCCGGTGTAGGGCCAAAGGAAGCCTGGGGAGCTGTTTCTCAGCTGAGCCAGCCCTTTGAACATGGGCAAGGTTTAACCGCCACGGATCCCGACAGAAGCCAGGAAGGACTCCAGGCTAGGGTGGGTGTCAGCAAAGTGAATAGCTGGTACTCCAAGGCTGGTCGACTCTTGGGGTGATTCAGTGCAGAGCTGGTCCATCATTACAGAGACCCCCTGCCCCACTCCCCGCCACACACACACACATACACACATACACCCCTCCCCCCCAAGTCGGGAGACAAGGCAAGCTGCGTTGTTGCCACTAAGTGGATGTCACCAAGGGAGTAATTTGTGGCGACTAGCAGAGGGACGTCCCTTCTAGATCTTTGGACTCTGAACTTTGGCCCGGTTCAAGGGATGCCAGAATGGGAGGCTCCTGTGGGTCACGTGCCAGCCTGCCCGTTCCCCCCACCCTGGCCCATCCTGCCCTGCCAGGGCCTCGGTGCACACCCTGACTTCCCCCCTCCCCCGACACACGCATACACCACTTCCTGAACCCCGGCCCCCTGCTTTTCTCTGACGTCTATTTGTTTTCCCTGGCCAACGGGACAGAGTTGGTGTTACTCGCTGTGGTATTTCCAGGACACATGCCGCTAGGTGCTTGTTGGTCCCTAGGGAAAGATTTGTTGCTTGAGTGAACGGATCCCTGACTCTGGTGGTGGCCAAACTTGGTCCAGTGACAAAAAGGCAGGTGCCCAAGCCCACAGCCAGCCAGAATTAAAATGCCTGTGTCAGGCCCTTCCTGCTCCTAGCCCAGGGACACGCTGAAAGGGTGCTAGGGACAGCAGCGGGTGGTGCTGGCAGAGCGTGTTTGTGACGGTCCCCTCTTCCCCTTAATATCCCTTTGGTACCTTGGTGGTCCTCCAGGGGCCTTGTGGGCTCCTGGTGTGCCTACAGCAAAAGCAGAGAGCAAAACAACCCCTGGCCCTGCCTCCTGGGAGTGCTCAGCAAAGGAAGGGCTCTGGGGAGAGGCCCCAGAAGCTGCGAGTACTCAATGTGTGCTTGTCCCGGGGGTGACAACATGGAGGAGTCACATCCCAGGGGGAGTGACATCCCTGGTGCCGGAGCGGGGGAAGGAAGGAAACAGGTAGAGGGACTGGGGGCCGCAGCCGGCAAGAAAGGTGTTGTCCTAAGAGATAAAGACCCCACCCACTGCTGGGTTGGGGGGTTGGGCTGACCTGGCTGGCCTGGTGTTCGGTGGGTGTGGATGAGGGTGACCAGGGGAGGAGTCCCTGGTATGGAAGGAGAAAGAAGGGCCATGGGAAGGCCCCTCAGCAGCCTCTGTAGCATCCCCACAGGAAGTAGTGATGCCACCTGCAAGGGTGGTGCTGGTGGCAGCCTACATGGTCCCGGAGGGTTGGTGACCTCTGTCTGTTTCCACACAGTGGACTTTGTGCAGTTACCTGTGCCCATCATCCAGCAACTCTACCACTGGGACTGTGGCCTGGCCTGCTCCAAGATGGTGCTACGGTGAGTGGTAGGCAGGCCCTCCCTGCCTGCTGGCCCCCGGGTACCTGCCCCAGCTCCACGGCACACGCAGCTGGAGACAGCTAGCAAGGATCTCACCACACACATGCTAGTCCTGGCTGGCGGCTCCCAGAAGACTTGCTCAGGTCGGTCTGTAAAAGCCCAACCTTCAGGGTCTCCTCACACTGTGAGGCTCAGGATGACCCACAGAGGCCAGTGCTGTGGCATTTCTGGTTAAGCTACCACCTGCCGCACCAGCATCCCCTGTGGGCACCGGTTTTGTCCCCACTTCTGAGCCAGCTCCCTGCTAATACACCTGGGGAAGCAGCCCAAAGTCTTGGGCCTCTGCATCCATGTGGGAGACCCAGTAGAAGCTTCTGGCTTCTAATCTGGAGCCTGGCCCAGCCCTGGCTGTTGTGGCCATTTGAGGAGTGAATTAGCAGATGGAAGATCCATCTCTCTCTCTTTTCCCTTTCAAATAAGTAATACAGTAATTTTTTAAAATGTGAGCAAGGAATCGCCTTACCAACCAGAACAGGACCAGAACAGGCCCTCCCAATACCAGGCTCCTCGCAAGCCTGATGAGCCGAGACCACTTGGTGTCTCCCATGGACCTTGACGCTGAGCCCCGGATCAGCTTCTCCCTTACCCTCCTTGTCTTTTTTTTTTTTTTTTTTAAGATTTATTTATTTATTGGAAAGTCAGATATACAGAGAGGAGGAGAGACAGAGAGGAAGATCTTCCATCCGATGATTCACTCCCTAAGTGGCCACAGTGGCTGGTGCTGTGCCAATCTGAAGCCAGGAGCCAGGAGCTTCCTTCAGGTCTCCCACATGTGTGCAGGGTCCCAAGGCCTTGGGCCATCCTCGACTGCTTTCCCAGGCCACAGGCAGGGAGCTGGATGGGAAGTGGAGCTGCCGGGATTAGAACCAGTGCCCATATGGGATTCCGGCACGTTCAAGGCGAGGACTTTAGCCGCTAGGCCACACTGCCACGCCCAACCCCCTTGTCTTTTTACACTTTGAAATTCCAGGCATGTCAGGATTCAGCTGCCCCCCAAAATTCTTGAAAACAATTTAGGATACCCAGAGGGCCATAGCCACCTGCCCAAGGCCACACAGCCTGCCTGAGACAATGCAAAGCAGAACCTAGGCCTGTGGATGGTGCCGCAGGCAGCTCGAGGAGCCAGGGGCCCTGGCAGTCCTCAGGTGGCGTGTGAGCAGGACATATGATTTGGTGTGTATCAAAGGAGCCTTGAGGCCATTGGGTGCTCTGACTGGCTGGCGGGCCCAAGGCGTGAGGGTAGCCTGGGCCAGGTGGATGAAAGCCCTCTGTGGTCCCTCCGTGCCTACAGGTACCTGGGCCAGTTGGACGATGGGGAGTTTGAGAATGCCCTGCAGGAGCTGCGCCTGACCCGGAGCATCTGGACCATCGACCTGGCCTATCTAATGCGCCACTTCGGCGTGAGGCACCGCTTCTGCACCCAGACGCTGGGTGTGGACAAGGGCTACAAGAACCAGGTGAGTGGCCAGTGGCCAGACCTTCCCATGTGGGGCCACCAAGATCCATTGGTGGCTGGGATGCCCCAGGTAGGCATAGACCAGGGAGCAGGATCTCTGTGTCCATCAGAGCAGGTAACTTTGTGGTCCTGCCTCCTCAAGGGTCTGTGCTCCCTACTGCCTGCCTTCACCATCACTCTCAGACTAATCCTTTCCTTGTTTGTTTGTTTCCCTTCCCCTTGAAAAATAATTCTTGGGACCTGCATGGTGACACAGCAAGTTAATCTTCTATCTGTGGTGCTGGCATCCCTTAGTGGCACTGGTTCAAATCCCAGCTGTTCTGCTTGCAGTCCAGCTCCCTGCTAACACACCTGGGTATGCAGCAGAGGATGGCCAAGTGCTTGGATTCCTGCCACCTGTGTGGGAGACCCAGATGGAGTTCCTGGCTTCAGCCCTGGCTATTGCAGTCATTTGGAGAGTGAACTAGCATTTGATGGGTTCTCTCTGTCTAGTTCTAGCCTTTCAAATAAAACTTAGAAGGAAAGAAGGAGAGAGGGAGGGAGGAAGGGGAAAAAGGAAGGAAGCTATCTAGCTGGCTGTCTCTACCCCAAGCAGTGGCATGGACAGGACCACAAGAGAATGAAGGGGTGGACAGCAGGGTGCAAGCCAGCTGCAAGGAGAAGGCTGAACCCTCCCCCCCCCAGGACAGCATGTTTGTTTGTTTTTGCCGGGGCCACCAAGGGGCTGAGGAGCACCTGTTCTCAGGGCCCCTTGCCCTTGGTCTGCCTCAAGGCCATCGTCCCTGGGCTAGCTCCATTGACCTTTCCTCTGCTGGCAGAGAACTTTGGAAGCAGACAGGTTGAAGGGCGTTGGCCCCTGGACCAAGGCCTGTCTCCAGGGTAGCGGGCAAGCCTGGCTGCAGCTGTGTGGGGAGGAGGAAGGCACCAGTGTGTTGGCGAGGCTAAAATGGCATTTATTTCACTTGAAAGAGTTACAGAGAGACACAGAGAGATCTGTTTTTTTTTTTTAAAAGATTTATTTATTTTTATTGGAAAGGCAGAAATGCAGAGAAGAGGAGAGATAGAGAGGAAGATCTTCTGTCCGATGGTTCACTCCGCAAGTGGCTGCAACGGCTGGAGCTGAACCAATCCAAAGCCAGCAGCCAGAAGCTTCTTCCGGGTCTCCTACACAGGTGCAGGGTCCCAAGGCTTTGGGCTGTCCTCGATTGCTTCCTCAGGCCACAAACAGGGAGCTGGATGGTTAGCGAGGCTTCCAGCATTAGAACCAGTGACCATATGGGATCCTGGCACATGCAAGGTGAGGAATTTAGAGCTAGGCTAAGGCGCCAGGCCCAGAGATCTTCTGTCCATTGGTTCACTTCTCAAATGGTCACAGTGGGCCAGTCTGAAACTGGGAGTCGGGTGTGAGCTTCCTCAGGATCTCCCACATGAGTGCAGGAGCCCAAACACTTAAACTATCTCCTACTGGACTGGAAGTGGAGCAGCCGATTCAAACCAGTTATCCATATGGGGTGCTGGCATCGTAGATGGTGACTCAACTCACTGTGCCACCATGCTGGCCCCAGACATAGCTTTTTCTGACTGGGCACGTTGCCTGTGCCATCTGCCTAACCAGCAGGGACTTCCCCCTGCCCACCATATCTCCTCCTGTGCTGTGCCTGCCCTTTTGCCCCATGCAGAGCAGGCAGCAGGAGCAGCCAGGGCGGGTGGCGCTCCAGCCTGCCCTCCTCTCTTCAGTCCTTCTACAGGAAGCACTTTGATACCGAGGAGACCCGGGTGAACCAGCTGTTTGCACAAGCGAAAGCCTGCAAGGTGCTGGTGGAGAAATGGTGAGCCCATTTCTAATAGGGGAGGAGGAAGGGAAAGGCTAGGACTCTAGCCTTTGGGCCCTGACTTTGCTTCCCCTTCCCCATGAGCCTTGGTTTTTCCGTTCATAAAATTGGGGGTCGATGGGGTGGTGGGGTGGGCAGTGGGGTCCAGTCTCCAGTCTGGAATAAATGCTGACCACGTGCTGGAAGGACCAGTACAGAGGACAGGTGAGGCCAGTCCTCGGGGGACACTCAGGGGACAACGGGCTGCATGAATAGAGCCCAGGAGCCCTGCTGAAGGGATTATGGATAGAGGAACACCATGACTGGCAGGGCGGGATACAGCAGTCCGCCCAGCAGCTGGGCTATCTGCGGAAGCCCTGCTCTCAGGCCTCCCCACTTGGGCTGCCCTGTGGCCTTCCTTCATCCTTCCTCCCTGCTCGGCTGTCTGGGGCTGCATTCAGACAGACCCTGGGAGCAGCTCATCCAGGTGTGAGCTCGCTGTGCTCATGCCCTCCTCATCTCGGGTCCCCAAATCCAGCTCCCAGCCCCTCTAAAGATTTGCGTTTTCATTGTTAACCAGATGGGTGATTTGGAAAACAGGCAAAAGACGTTTCCACTTACTTTTGTTTTTAAAGATTGATTAATTAATTTGCAAATCAGAGAGAGAGAAAGCTTCCATCCACTTGTTCCCTCCCCAGATGGCTGCAGCACCCTGGGCTGGGCCAGGAGTCAGAGAGAAGATCTTCCATCTGTTGGTTCCCTCCCCAAGTGGCAGCAACAGCTGGAGCTGAGCCAATCTCAAGCCAGGAGCTTCTTCCAGGTCTCCCACGCGGGTGCAAGGTCCCAAAGCTTTGGGCCCTCCTCTATTGCTTTCCTGGGCCATAAGCCGGGAGCTGGAAAGAAAATGGAGCAGCCAGGATACGAACTAGCACGCATATGTGGTACTGGTGCTTATAGGTGAAGGATTAGCAAGTTGAGCTATCATGCTGCCTCCTCCTCTGTTTCAAAGACCTAAGTGAGGGGGAAAAAAAAGAAAATAAGAGAAAATGGCATGTTTGCTGCAAACCAGACCTCCACGTGACTTAGCCATGGCCAGAGTCCCACCAGGCCACGTGGTGGCTCTGCTGCCACCCCCAAGGAGAGAGGGGAGCCCTGACTCTAGGACTGCCCCAAAGCTCTTTCTGTGCCTCTGGGTGTTTGGAAATGATGGCTAGTGGCTTGTAGGAGGTGTCTCCAGAGCTGCTGTGGACCCCCTTTCCTGGGGGCAGCCACTCATGCCACAGGAAACCTTTGGGGGACAAAATAGAGAATGAACATTTTCAGGGGAAGCATTTGGTTTGCAAAGTGGCTAATCCAGGCTTGGCTTGGGTTTGGGGAACTGCACTGGACCAGCAGTTTGCAGCTCCAGCTGTGGTGGCTCCTTGAGGAGTAAACCAGTGGATGGAAGATCTTTCTCACTGTTTCTCTGTGTCTACCTGCCTTTCCAATAAAAATAAATGAATCTTAAAGAAACAATACATGATGGCCTGGGCCACCAAGAGCAAAAAAAAAAAAAAAAAAATTCCTTAGACTGGGTGTGAGGTTGTGTGATTGCTACCCTGGCAACCCAGCTGGTGCCCAACTCCTCCTGTCCACCCTCCTCCCCATGCTGGCGGCTCATCTCATGCCCCGTAAGGCCCCCAGACAAGGCCATTTCCACCTGCAAGGAGCTGGGGCCGAGGGGAGAGACCCCTAGACCTGAGATAGGAGGCACGGGGAGTTGGCGAGCACCTGCGGACCCCTTCCTCTCGCCCCCCAACCCAGCGCTGTGAGCATTCAGGATATCCAGGCCCACCTGGCCCAGGGCCACGTGGCCATCGTGCTTGTGAACTCCGGAGTGCTGCACTGCGACCTGTGCTCCAGCCCCGTCAAGTACTGCTGCTTCGCCCCCAGAGGCCACCGCTGCTTCTGCCGCACCCCCGACTACCAGGGCCACTTCATCGTGCTGCGCGGCTACAACCGGGCCACCAGCTGCATCTTCTACAACAACCCAGCCTATGCCGACCGTGAGTGCTGCGGCAGAAGGTGGGGAGGGGGCGCTGCAGTGGGTTATCAGGGCTGCCCCCAGCCCTCCCTCCAGCCCCATGAATGTTGAGCAGGAGGCACAGGAAACAGAAAAAAGAAATGGGGAGCAAGATCACAACCAGACCGAATTTATTAGAGCAACAAATTCCAAGGGTGTGGCCATTTCCCCTCAAGTAGATGGAGTGGAGCAGGTGGCAGAGGCCCAGGCCTGCAGCAGGCTGGGCTTGGGATGTTTCCAGAGGTGGGGACCTGGAAGAAGCTCTGTTTATTAACCCGAGGGCACGACGTTACAAACTTGTGTTCTTGTTCCCTCCTGTGGCCCCTGCCCCATCCAGGCCTGTCCCCTCATTGCCCACAGGGCGGGGACACGGGGGAGGACCTCTTTGGGCTTTACTCTCCCCCAGCTACTAAACTGGGCAGGGGTTGGAGAAAGAGCTCACAAGAGCTAGAAGAGGTGGAAGACAGCTTCCTGGGGATGCAGGAAGTGAGCCAAGAGGCTTGGCCTGCGCAGTGGGCCACTAACAGGCCACACCCAGCTGCTGTCCTGGGGTGCCGAGCAGCAGGTGCTGCCTCCGCAGGCACTGACTCCCTCCCACCCCGCTCTGCCCTCCCCCCACTGGCAGGCATGTGCAGCACCAGCATTAGCAACTTCGAGGAGGCCAGGACCAGCTACGGCACGGATGAGGACATCCTCTTTGTCTATCTAGACAGCTGATAGAGGGAGCCTGCTGTGCCCAGGCTCTCGGATCCTGCCCCTCCACCCTGCTGTCCGTCCACCCCCAGCCCTCAGCCAGGCTGAACGCAGGAGCTGCAGCCTCAGCTGTCTGACAAAGCCCTCCTCCCCTTCACCTTCTCCCCCGGGGGAACTCTGGGAGCCGGGCACAGCCAGCCTCGCCTGCCAGCTGTTGTGTGCGCTCATGCCACCAGCCCCGTACCGAGGCACCTGTCTGTGTGGTTGCTGGGGCTCTGAAGTGAACCTCTCCCAGGACTCCAAGCCAGACTCCATCACAGCCCCTGAGGGAGTCCCTGTGGCCTTCAAGCGGGACCCCAGGAGAAGAGGAGGGACCTGAACCTGCCTCCCTACACACCTAGAGAGGACTGAGCCACTGGCGGCTCGTCAAACAATGTCTGTGTTTCCTGGGAACCTGCCCTCCTGGTCTCCGCTCATCCACACAACATGTGTGTTTATAGGGAGATGCAGCTGATCCTGGGCTTTGATGGCCTACAAGTGCTGCAGACCCCATGTGGACCACATGGATGCTACATCACTGTCACCTCTCGCCTCTCTCTAGGCCCAAGTCACCAAAGACACTCCGCCTGGCGGAGCCCTCATCCCTGGGGACGCCGGGGCCTCCTGCCACCCTCTAGGGAGCCCAGCTCCGTGGGCTGAAGGGAGGGTCCTCATGGGGTGGGCCTGAGAATAAACAGCATCTGGGCCTCAGGGCACGGTGGCAGCCAGGGATCTCCTGACAGCCAGAATGCCAACAGCAGAACCCATCTTCTGGGTGTAAGGGGGCCCCAGCTCTCGAGAGAGGGTGCTAGGGTCTATAGTCCTGCGGTGGCAACAGAGGGCAACCTGGGTCTAATGCCAAGACTTTGGGCTTTGTGGATCCCTGAGTGCCCTCCATCTTGACCGAGGGGTGCCAGGTGCCTTCCCAGGATCAGACAGCACAAGTATTGTAGCCTGGAACCATTTCTTCCCATTTCTCTTCTCTTTTGTGCAGAGCTGTTTGGGGTTTGTTTCTGTGGAGTGTGTGTGTGTGTGTGTGTGTGTGTGTGTGTATGGGGGGGTTGGTTTTTTTTTCTTCAGATTTCACTTTTTTGCTTTTTGGGGAGTAAGGGTGCCTTCCGATGAGATAATAATAGTGAGGTTGCAGGTACTGTGGCACCACTAGCACCTCTTCCACACGACAGGTCGGCCAGTCCATGTCTGTCTGCCCCTTCCCCCTCACCCAGTCCAAGGAGAGCCAGCCCACAACATGGTACAGCTGGGCCATGGGCACCCAGGTGTGGACCTGAGGAATAAGGCAAGCCCACTCCTGCACTCCTGGAACTTGGTCTGTGGGTACCTGAGGCATAGCATGGTGGTGGCTGCTGTCCCAATCCCCCAGCTACCCAGGGCTGTCGGCCCACTCAGTCCCATCACTCCTGGGCACCAGGTACAGCCTTGGTTGGCCAGATGATCTCCCAGGGTTTCAGAGACTTCGTGTTGGCGTCAGGCTGGTCTGTCTCATTTCCATTGCCTTAATAATACCAAGTGGCCCAAGGCATGAGGAAACTCCAAGACCTGAAGCCCCAGGCGGACCATGTGTGTCCTGCTGTGACCATGGACATCCTCAGACAAGCAGAACTGAGTGAGCCAATGGAGGACACAAAGCTGTCAGGCCAGCTGGATGAGAACGAGGCGCCAGGGGCACAGAGCTGGCCCGGAGGACGGCTGCTCCAGTGCAGGCTACACATTAAAGGCACCTGTCCATCCACAAGACCCCATTTTCCTGAGGCGAGACCTGGAGAACAGTGTGAGCACACACACCACCACCACCCTTCACGTGTCGGTCATGAAAATGGGACTGAAAACAAAAAACAGCCTGCACAATCAGGGACTGTGTCACGTGACACCCACATGCTGGGGACGGGGCATCATGGCCATCAGCCACACAAGGACAGTCTAGTCACAGGGCTAGGGGTGGGGAGGGGGGGGACAAAAGGGTTCTTTTGCATTGCAGAGGTTTTATACATAAAATATATTTTGTTTGTAATGAGCCATTCTCAATAAATGTTCTCACTGTGTAGTGGTGGGTTCCCGTCTCTGTCCCAGGTTCCCAGCACGACCCCTTGGGAACTTGGGCCACTAACTTGGCCATGTGCAGTCTGAATCGGGACTCCCAAGCTGACTTCCTTCATCCAGGCTTGGGTGCTTGTGCAAAAGCTGAATGGAAAGGTCTCTGAGTAAGAAGGAGGTGGGGTGGGGCATGCGGAGGGGCCTAGGTAGGCAGAGGGATGGAAAGGGGGAAATTCTGCTGGGCAACCAACACACCCAACCAACACACCTCTGTCCCCCTTCTGACAGCTCCTCTTAGTATGTGCCTGACACTAGGGCTTTTTCTTGAATTTCATTCCATAGTTGTGTTCCAGAGTTCCACTTCTGCTCAAGGAAATGTTTGAAAGTGCTGGGTGTTCGGATCCACCCAGTGTCCTGCAAGAGTGCTGACTTGGGGTTGGGTACATCCGGGATCTCCCACCAAGTGAAGTACTGACATCCTGTTTGCTGCCTGGCTCCTCCCCCAACTCTATAAAGCCACTAATGTCATCCTGGGGGCCCCACCTTCATGATCTCATGGAAGCAACTAATTACCATCTAAATATCATTAAATTTACAGATTAAGTTTTCAACACTTGAGCTTTTATGAGGCACCCTCCAGCTACCCCACCTTCTGACTCCTCCTGTTAATTGCTTTCTTTCACATAGTAGCAACTGCAGACCAGTCAGGATGCCACATCTTGTAGCTAGCCCAGCTAAAAGGGTGGTTTGTTGGGAGGAGTGCTGGCATGGTAGAGTAGCAGGTTAAATCACCCGCCTACAACTTGAGCATCCGATATAGGCACCAGTTAGGTTCCAGTTATTTCACTTTTTTTTTTTTGAAGATTGATTTTTATTGCAAAGTCATATATAAAGAGAGGAGAGACAAAGAGGAAGATCTTCCATCCGATGATTCATTCCCCAAGTGACCACAATGGCCACAGCTGTCCTGATCCAAAGCCAGGAGCTAGGAACTTCCTCCAAGTCTCCCACACAGGTGCAGGATCCTAAAGCTTTGGGCTGTTCTTAACTGCTTTCCCAGGCCACTAGCAGGGAGCTGGAATAGGAAGTGGGGTTGCTGGGATTAGAACCGGCGCCCATATGGGATCCCAGTGTGTTCAAGGCGAGGACTTTAGCGGCTAGATCCGAGGTTCCAGCTGTTTCACTTCTGATCCAACTCCTTGCTAATACACCTGGGAAAGCAGCAGAGGGTTAGGGCCCCTCCACCCACATGAGAGACCCGGATGAAGTTCCTGGCTTGGGCCTGGTCTAGCCCTGGCAGCTGCAGCTGTTTAGAGGAGTGAACCAGTGGATGAAAGACCTGTCTCTCCTCTCCAACTCTGCCTTTCAAATAAACAAATTCATATTAAAAATAAGCAAAAGGGAGCCTTGGGGTTCAAACTTGATTGTGGCCCAACTGCCTGGAAGCTCTTGTTGGACTGATACTTGCTGATATCCTAAAAATAACGACCACTTGGTTGGACAAATGTCACTAAGACGCCCTCTGGTGGGCAAAGTGGGGAAAAGAACATAGTGTTTCTCTGCACTTAATAAAAATGCCCTTGTTCCTTCCACCTGCACCTGACCCAAACTGGAAGAAGAGGTGAGATGAACACTGCCATGGGACATGTTTTTGGAGGAACAGAATCTCTGATGCCCAGTGAAGAAATGGCCTGGGTTCCAAGAGGCAAGGAGGGAGGCGGGGTCTCTAGTCCCAGTCTCATGATGCCCCACTTCCTTATGAACAAAATGCCTTGGTGTGGCTCTCCCAAACTTGTACACACGCTGTGAGTTTCAATGACTTGTGGGGTTCTGCCTTCCTGCCCAGACGCATTTGACCACGGGTTTTATCTGTTTTCAAGAATCTTATCAGAAATGACCCGCAGTCTGGGAGATAAGGAACGGCCTGCAGTCCCATCAGATTTCCTCCCCAGCCCTGTTCCCGCAGCCCAGTCCTGGCTCAGGCCTGCAGTCCCACCAGCTGTCCTCCCCAGGCTGTGCCCTCGCTCAGCCACTCTGTGGGAAAGACAAATGCTGCTCCGTTGGTGGTGTGGACAAACAAGGTCAGGTGAGGCTAGCTGCCCTCAGGTGGTCCTTCCATAAATACAAGCATTGGAGTCACATGTACAAGGTAATGTGGGAATGTCGCATGCTGCCAGCTGGCTTCTTCAAGGTGTTTGTAAGAAGCCTTCTTCAAGTTGTTTTTATAAATGAAGGATTACTTGGTGACAGGTGCAGTGAGATAAGTTGCCGTGTCTGCAGCACTGACACCCCACTTGGACATTGATTCAAGCCCCAGTTGCTTCACTTCCTATCCAGCTCCCTGCTGATGTGCCTGAGAAAGCAGCAGAAAGTGTGGCTCAAGGGCCCTGTGCGACGGCCTAGTGGTTAAATTCCTGCCTTGCAAGCAGCAGGATCCCATGTGGGCACCGGTTTGTGTCCTGGCTGCTCCACTTCCCATCCAGCTCCCTGCTTGTGGCCTGGGAAAGCAGTCGAGAATGGCCCAAAGTCATGTGGGAGACCTAGAGGAAGCTCCTGGCTCCTGGTTTCATGTGGGAGACCTAGAAGAAGCTCCTGGCAGTTGTGGCCACGTGGGGAGTGAACCAGCAGATGGAAGACCTTTCATGCTGCATCTCCTTTCTGTAAATCTGTCTTTCCAATAATAAGATAATAATAAATCTTAAAAAAAAAGTTGTTCAAGTACTCGGACCCTTAAACCCATGTTTGAGACCCGGATGAAGCTCCTGGTTTCTGGCTTCAGCCTGGCTCAGTCCTGGCCATCGCAGCCATTTGGAGGTGTGACCAGCAGATGGGAGATCGCGCCCTTTCTCTCTGTAACTCTTTTAAGTAAATAGACACAGTTAGCTATCTAGATTTATTTGAAAAACAGATTAGCGAGAGAGAGCACACAATCTTCTATTTGCTAGTTGGCCTCTTTCCCAGGCCAGGAGCTAGATTGGAAGTAGAACAGCTAGGACTTGAACCAGCACTCAAATGGGATGCTGGCACTGCAGACGGAGGCTTAACTGGCTGTGCCACAATGCTGGCTAACACCTCCAAGTGTGGAAGCAAATACCACCAGTAGCATACGCAGTCACAGACCATTTGTGGGTCTCTTTCACCGGAGCTACTCAGAACAGTTCCTTGGATCGATGACCTATTAACACACACATTGTGTCCCTACAGAGAGGAAGTCATCCATTTGGGAAAGACGCTGCAATATTGGTGTTGACCTCAGCTGAAGAGGTTAACAGTATCACGTGGGCCCTGGGAAAAACCCTTCAGGGTTTCCAGAAGCAACTTCATGGCTGTTTGTATGTTTGGTGGCAGATGTGCTCTGTCACACCGGGGTGAATGACCTGGGCCAAGTGCTAAGGTTCATATTTGAGCAAGCCAGCTGGCTTGTTAAGGTGGTTCTTGCTGGGCCTGGAGCAACGACCTTGTGGCTAAACCCTCAGTTTGCAAGCACTGGGATCCCATGTGGGCACCAATTCATGTTCCAGCTGTTCCACTTCCCACCCAGCTCCCTGCCTGTGGCCTGGGAAAGCAGTCCAGGATGGCGCAAAGCCTTGGGACCCTGCACCTGTGTGGAAGACCCAGAAGAAGCTTGTGGCTCCTAGCTTCCAATCAGCTTATCTCTGGCCTTTGTAACTATCTGGAATGTGAAGCAGGGGATGGGAACTCTCTCTCTCTCCATGTCTCCTTCTCTTTGTAAATCTGCCTTTCACACACACACACACACACACACTCTTATTTAAAAAGATAGATCTTGCCAGCTTATGCAATTTGTACAACCTGTTGGGTTGAGGACCCTGGGGTCACGGTGGAGTTTCATATCACAGGTTAGGCCCATTCCACTACTGGCCTAATTGCATGACTGATTGAAGCATAGATTTGGTCAAGCCTCTATTAGATTTATCAGAATGACAGACAAAATGACACATTCATGGGACAGCTGCCAAAAGCCCAGATAGTGTAGAAATTAGGGGTGGGTGTTGTTGGGAGATGATTCTCTATGGGTCCTTCTGTGTGTGTGTGTGTGTGTGTGTGGATTTTCACGGGCTGCTGTGGTGGTGTAGCAAGCTTAATCCTCTCCCTGCAGTGCTGGCATTTCACAGAGGTGCCAGTTTGTGTCCTGGCTCTGCTCCACTTCTGACGAGATCTGGTGCGTTCAGGGTAGTATGGCCGTAGACTCTGCTCCACTTCTGACCCAGCTCTCTGCTAATAGTTTGAGAGGGCGGAGGAGGGTGGACCCCTGCATCCATGTGGGAGACCTGCCTGGAAGAAGTTCCTGGCTCCTGGCTTCAGATTGGCCCAGCTCTGGACACTGTGATCATTTGGAGAGTGATCCAGCAAATGGAAGAACTCTCTGTCTCTTCTTTCCTCCCTTGATTGCACCCAGTTCTGTCCCCAGCCCCACATCACATGCAAACTGACAAGTATTGCATCCCAGCCCAGCCCAACCCAGTGTACCACAGGCCTGGCCCTTACATACCAGTGGGAACTGCAGCCTAGTCAGAGGGACCTCCAATAATCCCCACCTAGCCACCACCAGCCCCAGTTCCTGCACATGCCAATATGTGCAGCAGACCAGTCTGGTCCATGCTGCATCCCAATTGGGCTCTTATATACACCCATGGGTGTTGCAGCTTAGCTCATCCCAGCTCACCCCTACCCCCCGCCAATCCAGTCCACACGTATGCTGGTGGGTGCTGTCGCTTCGTCCTGTCTGGTCTGCCCCCAGCCCTGGCTTTCGTACACTCCAACAGGAGCTACAGCTCAGCAGAGGAGTGCCCACTGTTTTCCCTGGATCTTGCACTTTCCTGGGGTTACTGCAGTCCAGTCTGATGTGACTTGTACCCTGTGCTGACATTTGCTAGCAGATGCTGCAGCAAAGCCTGGCCAGTCGGCACTTATCCTGGCTCTTGTATGCGCCAGCAAATGCAATGGCCTGGCCCATCCTGGCCCTCCCCCAAACCCAGCTCACATGTAGGTCAACAGTTATTGTAACCCTGCCCCAGCTCTCACACTCCCCAGTGGGAGCAGTGGCCCAGCAGGGGAGTGCTTTCAGTGCCACCACCCCCTCCACCAGTTTTATTTCCAGCTCAGGGCCTCGCATATGCCAGTGGGTGCTATGATCCAATCTGCATCTCACTTCGGCAATTGCCAGCAGGTGCTACAGCCTGACTCTACTCAGCCTCCCCCCAGTCCCAGCTCATGTTGGAGGGTGCTGCAGCCTAGCCCAGCCCAGCCAGCCCCCTGTCCCAACCTTAATGTGAACTGGTGGGGATTACATCCCAGCCTGGCCTAACCTGCTCCCCATCCTCTCACACCTGCCAGCAGGAATTGCAGACTGGCCTAGGCCAGTCCACCCCTAGAGCAAGACCACATGTACACTGATGGGTGCTATAGCCCAGCCTGGCCTGGACTGCCCCCAGTTTTGATTCTTGCATTCAGCTGCTGTGGCTACATCTTAACAGGGGAGTTCCCCAAACTCCCCTATTAGAACAGCTTCCAGTTGCAGATTCATGCACACTGGTGGGTGTTTGGCTCATCTCCAGTCCCAACATTCACCATTGGGCACTATGGCCTTGCTAGACCAGCTTACATCCATTCCAGCTCTCTCTAGTTGGTGCTACAGCCCAGCCCTACCTGGCTCACCCACAGACCTGGTTCTCATGTGCATCAGTGGGTGCTGTGACCTAGCCCAGCCCATCCCATACCCACTCACAACCAGAATCTTCTTACAGTGGCTCCCCAAGTTCCCATGGCCAGAGGGCAACACGAAGAGGACCTCATGACTCCAGCACAAGTGCATTAAGCAAAGACAAAGAATAGAGAGTTTAAAGAATTCATGTGTGTGTGTGTGTGTATTAAAGTCACAGTTGTAAGGGTGGGGCCAGCTAGCGTGATGGCTCAATTGGCTAATCCTCCCCATGCAAGTACTGGTGTCACATGAGTGCCAGTTTGTATCCCAGCTGCTCCACTTCCCATCCAGCTCCCTGCTTGTGCCCTGGGAAAGCAGTCGAGGATGGCCCAAAGTCTGGAGACCCTGCACCCACATGGGAGACCTGGAAGAGACTCCTGGCTTCAGATCGGCTCAGCTCTGACTTGCAGCCACTTGGGGAGTGAATCAGTAGATGGAAGATCTTCCTCTCTGTCTCTCCTCCCCTCTTATATCTAACTTTCCAATTAAAATAACAAATATTTAAAATAAATAAAACCTAAGTCACTGAGTAGACATTGAATCTTATTATTTTGAATTTTGAATTATGTGGTACAATTTTATATAGGTTGGGATTCCCCCCAAAACTCCCACCCAACAGATTTTCCCCATTTTACTACAGTGGTGTAGTCCTTCATAAGGAATCATAATCCTATCAGTCTCTTTGAGTAGACATTAAAAAAAAAATCCTATTCAGGCATGGCCTACCCAGGTGGACACTGCAGTCTTGAGGTGCTGCTGGATCCCTGAAGCCCACTGTGCTGGCATCTGTGTGCTGGGCCAGAGGGTGAGGTGTTCCAAGGTCATACCCAGATGTAGGTGAATTGGGGTGCAGGGTAGCAGGCAGTCTTTGGATGTGTCCTGATGGATCATGCCTCATTCTCTGTGTGTGTGAACAGCAGTCACAGCCCTTGCTGGGTGAGAACTCTTGCTTGCCCTGTAGATACCGGCCTGTGTAACCAGGACCTGCCATCAGCTCCCAAGGCAGTCCCTCATTGCGAATCCCTTCATCGCTCTCCTTCCGTCTCTGCCCCCCTACTTGGGTGTGACTGGTGGAAACTGTGGTCCTAGAAGTGGTTTCAAAGGCAGAGACTATCAAGGAGGGGTTTTCTGGAGCGCTTCTTGAGTCTGATCAAGCTTAAAAGCATTGGTGGCTTTGTTTGCAGGGGTGAAGGGGGCTGTGGCGGTCTACTGTATGGTACAGCAGCAGAAACTCAATTATTTATTAAACATTTATTTATTTATTTATTTCATTGGAAAATCAGATTTACAGAGAGCAGGAAAGACAAAGATCTGTCTGCTGATTCACTTCCCAAGTAGCCACAAAGGCTAGAGCTGAGCTGATCTGAAGCCAGCAGCCAGAAGCTTCTTCCAGGTCTCCCATGCAGATGCAGGGTCCCAAGGCTTTGGGCCATCCTCGACTGCTTTCCCAGGCCACAGGCAGAGAGCTGGGTGGGAACTGGGGCCGCCAGAATATGAACCAACTCCCATATGGGATCCCGGCACGTTCCAGGTGAGGACTTTAGCCATGAGGCTTCCGTGCCAGGCCCCTGAATAGGATGTTTAAAATTTACTTGAATTTATTGGAAAAGCATGGAGATAACAGACAGATCTTTCAATAGCTAGCTCACATTCCAAATATCCATTATAAGTTATCAGGGCTGGGCCCAGGCTGCATTGGAAGCAGTGCCAGGATGTGAACGCAGGCGCTTGCATACAGCGTGTGGGTGTCCCAAGCAGGAGTTGTACTGAATGCCCACTGGACATTAGTTCTTAATTTGAGGTGAAATTCGCATCACAGCAAATGAAACATGTTTACGGTATGCAAATCAGGCAGTGGTATTTGGCATGTGGCAATGTACTGCAAGCATCCCCTCCTTTTAGCCTTGAAGGAAGCCTTGCACCTGCTAAGCAGTTCCTCTCCCTGTCTCCTTGGCTCTGTGCAGGCATTTTCAAACCAATGTGGATAGCCAACATTCAGGCAGCAGCCAGTAGACGGGCAGGCAAGAGCAGAACCAGCTACTCTTTCAGCACATTGGGGCGGTAGTTAGGCTTGAGAGCTTCGGCCAGTTCCCGAGCGTACATCTCATACCTGCCGGTCATCTGAAAGAAAGAAAAGTGGGTAGATGTCAGAGGCTCCTCACTTCCTGGCCACCACCTCCTGCCACTGGGGGGCAGCCACGGGCCAGGAACGCGTCAAGGTAGACTGGGTGGACTCAGCTGTGTGACCTCTCCGGGCAGCAGCCCGTGGTGGTGGTGCTGTGGTGGCCAAGTTCGCAGACACTCGGAGGGTTCACACGCCTGCCGTGACCTCTGTGAATTGTGTAGAAGGTGTGGCCTGCCCCCAAGGCAGGAAGGAGGGGGAAAGGTCAGCTACCGTCCGTCCAGCACCACCACAGAGGAGCAGCTGACAGCCCCAGGGAAGGGACCAATCCGCTCCGAAACACCAGGATTTGAACCCGGGTCTCCTAGCTGAGACTGGAGGTCAGTCCATGTCTTATGGCATCTGTCCCTGGACACGGTCAGCCTGCCTGGACCCTGGCATGCTCTACCGCCCTAATCCTTGCCAGATCCTCCTCACCCGTCCCAGTGAGGATGGGAACACATTGGTGATCATTCCCCGTGATGCTGGTGAGGAACTGGCATGGTATCTGGCATGAAATCTATTTATTTTTTATTGGAAAGGCAGATTTACAGAGAGAAGGAGAGACAGAAAGATCTTCCATATGCTGGTTCACTCCCCCTGGGGCGACAACAGCTGGAGCTGAGTTGATCTAAAGCCAAGAGCCAGGAGCTTCCTCCAGGTCTCCCACACAGGTGCAGGGTCCCAAGGCTTTGGGCTGTCCTTGACTGCTTCCCCAGGCCACAGGTAGGGAGCTGGATGGGAAGTGGAGTAGCTAGAACATGAACTGGTGCCCATATGGGATCCTGGCCTATGCAAAGTGAGAATTTAGCCAAGTCACTGTATGATCCCTCAAATATACATAGAAATATGTATACAAATTTGTATTTGGTGGTGTAACCCTTTGGACCACAGCATCAGCACCCTCTTATTGGTTTTCCATGAACATTTTAGAGCACGCTCCGTCTGCTGGACACCAGTTCAAGAGACTCCTGAGCTACAGGCTCTCCTGGCCATGGCTACACAGATCCCATCGTAGGAGGCCAGGCCCCCCATACTCCCGGCATCAGAGGGCCAACCAGTTTCCAAGGCAGTAGGAGTCTCTCCCTTCCTAACCTACTGGCGCACTTCAGGTCTGGGAGCACTAGGTCAAGCCCAGCCCAAGTTCCATTTCTCCAGCGTGACCCATTTCCCACTATTGTCGGGGCCCAGACGGTGGAGCCTGGCAGCGGGCAGAGCCAGACACGCGCCATTTATCTTGTGTTAAGTGCAAAGGCCTGGAAAGGAAAAAAGGATTAGAGAAGCCAAGCTACTCTATTCTCTGGACAAATGAAATTGAGATTAATTTGTGAGAAGGCGCCCAGAATCGAAATCAGATGAAAGGAGGATTTATCAAGGCTTGCCTGCCGGCTAGTCAGTACTCCTGACCCACCTGTCCTCGGCTGACTGCCCAGCCTGGGAGGAGGAGGTGGGGGCCAGGCCCTCTGTGGGTGCGGGGTGGGAGTGGGAGTAGGGAAAAGCTCGGGGACCCACCTTGAAGTTCCAGATGTCATTCATCTGCCGGCAGAGGTTGAGGTCGAGCTCGGCAACCAGCAGTCCGTCCCGGTTCCGGGAGAGCCCTGGGGTCCGGCTGCTGTCGGGGCCCGCCACGTAGCTGGAGCCATAAAAGTGACCAAAATCCTTGTGCGCTGGAAGGGAGGAAGATGAAAAAAGCACATGTGAGTTTGCGTTGGTTGCAGCGTGGGCTCTGCAGATGTGGGACACCCCAGAGGGACACCCAGGAGGTGGCGTCCCTGCTCCCTGAAGTCTGACAAAGGCACGGATGGGGTTGAGGGGTGCCAAAGAGCCTGTTTCATGTCACAGGAAGCCACTGCAAAGGCCACCTGCGTTCCTCCTCTCTACCCCTGTTCCTGGAAGAATTTTTAAGTGTCACCCTGCTGCCTGGGGAGAGGTGTTAGCTCTTCACGCTCAACCACCTACAAGGCCCCAAGAAGGCCTGATGATTCAGGGGCTTCCTGTGTCAACCACTTCCTGTGCCAACTGGGTCCCCTCCCTCTCCCTTCACTGCTGGGTGGGGGGTTGTAAGCTCCCCCCAACTCCTACCCTCCAGAGGTGTGGGCACAGGGGCAGGGGCCCAGGACCCTCATTCTCCTGCACCTCTGTTTGCAGGAAGTTGGGGTGCCCTTCTGGGGGGCCTGGAGGGGAGAACTGCAGCCATGCCGCCCTCCCCCGACTCTCTCCCCTTAGTTTGAGCGGTGTCTACTCAGCCCCTTCCAACCCTGGCCTGCGAGGCGGAGGGGTGGGCCTGAGCTAAGGTGGTCAAAATGAGGTAGTAGACTCTAGAAATGCCAGGCTGCTGGTGCCCACGGCACAGTGGGGGTGGGGACAGAAAAAGGAGTGGGCAGGGTAGTCTGCCAGCTGAGTGGAGGTCCCACACAGCTTTTTTTTTTTTTTTTTGGTGGACAGGGGGTTCCCATCATTTCCACACCCATCCAGGGTAAGGGTGGATCCTGATCTGTGTACTCTTAGATGCGGCAGTGGTGGGCACAGCTGGAGACTGTGCTGAGCCACACCCCAGCCCGGCCCTGCCTCCTCCTGGGTGCCAGGAGTGCAGATGTGGGCATAAGGGAAACACACAGCCTGCCCATAGGAAGCCCACGGCGCAGGGGAGGGCGGGACACTCCCAGAACTGACCCTTCTTTCCATCTCCAGAGGTGAACTCATTCGGGAAGTGCTCCTGCAAAGACAGACGGAGGTCAGTGACCTGTAGGTGGCGCCACCACCATGTTCGTGCCTCGCGGCGCGGTCCAGGCCAGGATCCATGAGAAGGCAAAGATACAGGGGCTGTGGATGGCATCTGAGGTTGGGCTTGCCTCAACACTTTACCTGGTCCAGCCCCTGCTGTTGCAGCCATTTGAGGGAGTGAGCCAGATGGATGGAAGACCTATCTCTGTCTGGAATTCTGTCTTCCAAACAAATACATCTCTAACGAATAGAACCGACTTCATGTGGAACCCTTGGTTATCTTGGACTGGTCTGAATGCTTTCCTTTGAGTGGGCTTGGGACTTGGTGGATGACAGAAAGGGAGGAGGGTTACAGATGTTCAAGTGCGGAGTGTCTGGTGGACAGAATAGCTCAGGGCATGGGGGTCACATCAACGGGACCAAGATAAGAAACTGGATATTCGCAGGAGACAGTTAAGTAACAATCCCTTCAGGATGATTTAGAGATGAAATTGGAACGAGAGAGGGGAGGGTACAGCAGCATTGTCAAATGAGGGTCGATCAAGTCAGCTTCCGCCTCTCTGCCCCCCTGGGTTCTCTGGGCTTGAAGCAGGCATGGGAGGGAGCGAGCAGAAGAGGAGGCGTGACAATCCTACAGCCAGGGCCAAGGGAGACTGACCTCGCCCACGCGGTTGATGGCACATGTGAAGCAGTGGTTGGCGATGGCTGCGTTTCTGGCTTCGATCGGCCACAGCGACTCACTGTAAGAGAGGCATAGGAGGAAGCAGGTTGTGACATGCCATGGGAGTCTGGGTCCCAAGCTGGGCCTCTGTGGCTGGCCTACCTGGGCTAAAGGGATGGGTACAGCCATGGGGGAATCACTGTGCCAGTGGCCCATGGCTGAAGCCCCAGCAGTCTCCCGGTGAGGGGGTTGCTATGGGGTAGAAGCCATGTGGTTGTGGACTATTGGAGGAGGCAGGCAGATGGCCTCGGATCCTGTTTGTGCCTCAGTTTCCTTTGGTGAGACTTCCGCAAGACTGGGACTAAAGACTGGGAGGGCCTTTACTACTGGCATTTCATGAGTTTTTTGGCGGGTCCAAAACCAGCCACTTTCTCACCTTGTTCCATTTCCCTCCTTCCTGGGACCCTCCTGCAGGGCAGGGTGGGGCAGGGCCGAGTCACTCATCGACCCTGTGGAAGGGATCTGCCAGCTCACATAGCTTGTGGAGGCCTGTGATGGCCAAATCTGGGCTTCCGTGCCCTGCTGGGACCCTCCTGATACTGCCTTAAGACATAGCAGCCAAACACAGGGAGCAGAGTTCAGGCTAAGCAAACAGAATTTACTGGAGCTGGCACGGTGGCACAGCATACAATCCTCCACCTGTGACACTGGCATCCCTTATGGGTGACAGCCGGTGTCTCAGTTGCTCCTCTTCCCATCTAGCTCCGTGTTCATGTGCTTGGGAAAGCAGCAGAGGATGACCCAAAGCCTTGGGACCCTGAACCCACATGGGAGACCTGCAAGAAGCTCCTGGCTTTGGATCAACTCAGCTCTGGCTGTTGCGGCCATTTTGGGGAGTGAACCAGCAGATGGAAGATCTCTCTGTTTTTCCTTCTCTCTGTAAATCTATCTTTCAAATAAGAACAAATAAATCTGGGGGGGAAAAAAAAGATAACCAGAATATACCAAAAAAAAAAAAAAAAGGTAGGAAGGTAGGTAGCCAGGCAAGGAATGATTCTGCAGCGATGTCCTTTAAGTTGAGCTGTAACAACAGGACTTCTCACTCCCCTTTTTTGAATTCTGCATCCCAGGAGGCATTTGCTGATTCTCTAACTGGCCAGGGTAAGAGGGTTGTCCAGGGAGGAGGTGCCCCTCGCCAGGCCCGGCTGAGCTGTGAGCCTTCCAAAGCATGGTGGTAGTGATTGGTGGGGCCAACCCTGACCCTGTGACACATGGAAGGCAGCGGGGCCCCTCTGGTCACTGAGGCGTTCTTTGTCTGAACCACGTTGCCTGCATCTGTGCTGACAGGTGTAACGCCCGCTCGGAGGCAGCTGAGCATCTGGGAGCTAAACACCTTGGAAATTTTCCCTTTCCTGCAGTGTGCACCTGGCTTCAACCGGGGTGTGGGTGGAGGGGGTGCGTGCTTGTCACCAAGCCCGATTCTCAGCAGGATTCACACGTGGGTTTTCTCTGGGGTGGTGGGGAGAGGGAAAAAAAAAAAGAAAAATCACACACTTGATAGCATGGAGGAAGGGGCGGGTGCATTCGGCTGCTTTTCCACCCCTCCCTGGCTGCTCAACCAAGCTGAACAAAACTTTGAAGATTTTCACAGAAACACACCTCCTAAGTGACATTTTTTTGTTTTGTTTTGTTTTCCCTAGGAATTCAATAGACGCTTGAGGGGCCCCGATGCTGTGAAACATCACTCCTGCGACACTCCCACGAGGAGTGTCAAACCCTCGACCTGGTGACAAGATTGATGGCATCTCATCAATGCTACCGCTGGGCAGCAGGGAGAGAGGGGGAGGTTAGTGAGAGCCCGGCCAGTGTGTGCGGGAATGGCGGAGTGTCCAATGGGAGAATGGGACGTTTGCCATATTCCCAGTGAAGTGTATACAAACTCCTAAAAATAATTGTGGTGGGAAGTCAAAAGGCAGCTGGGGCGGGAGGGGGGCTGGGGGCTGGGGAGGACTGGGACAGTCACTTCCACATCAGTGAACACAGGAGGCAGGAATTGTTTGGGCCACAAGGGACGCGTCCTGAGGCTGTGGCGATGACTCAATTAATCAAACAACACTGCGATTCCTTTGTGTGTTGGGGAATACGGGGCCCGGCAGTCTGTCTGCCTCAGCGCACACACGCAGAAGTGTGTCTGGCCCGCTGATACAAAGGGGTTGAGGATGCCAGAGGAGGGACTGCATGGTTGTGAAAGCTGTGATCGGAGGCTGGTATCTGGCTCCTGGCAGCCGGCTCAGCTCCGTGCTGACAAATGCAATGAATTGTGCAAACCGCTGTATTCTGGTACGGCTGTTAGGGTGCTGCTGGGGAGCCCGCTCCCCTCATCAAAGTGCCTGGGGTTTGAATCTCAGCTCGATTTCCAATCCAACTCCTTGCTAACATGCATCCTGAAAAGTAGTAGAGGATGGCTTTGGGTCCCTTCCACCCAGGCGAGTAAGCCACAACTGAGTTCTGATGCTCCTGGCTTCAGCTCGGGGCCCAACCATGCTGTTGGGGGCATGTGGAGAGTGAACCAATTTCTCTCTCTCTCTCCCTAACCCTTCAAACAAAATGAATATTTTTGAAAAATTGAAAAAAAGAGACTCTCTTGTTCTTGTAAGAATATCAGAAAACCACCCAGAAGCCTAGCATCCTCGTGAACCACCCCCTGTCATTCTCCCACACTTCCTGGTCTGATCTTTGTCAGAAAAGGGGTTGGGGACAAAAAAGATCCCATTGAGTTTTTCATCTTTCTGGACGCATTTTCTCAGGGCTCTAGGCTCCTGTTGCGATGGCTAATGAGTCTTTATAATCCCCTGAGAGAGGTGGGCGGATTTATTCAATTTATTTATTTGGAAAGGCAGATCTACAGAAAAGAGAGATGAAAGATCTTCCATCTGCTGGTTCACTCCCCAAGTGGCCACAACGACCAGAGCTGAGCCGATCCAAAGCCAGGAGCTTCTTGCAGGTCTCCCACGCAGGTGCAGGTCCCAAGGCTTTGGGTGATCTTCCTCTGCTTTCCCAGGCCACAAGTAGGGAGTTGGACGGGAAATGGAGCAGCAGGGACGCGAACCAATGCCCATACAGGATCTTGGCAGATGCAAGACGAGGATTTAGCCACTAGGCTGTCACGCTGGGCCCCGAGATTTCTTTAACTCTTGCATTTCTCTCTGGCTACCAGTCCTTCTGTTATAGACAAAACTGGCTGAAAAACACCCTAATAAGCATGGCCTTGCCCTCCCTGCTCAGGTCAGCCCCGCACCCCAAAACGGGCCACTGTTTGGGGACTATCAGTCTGTGGTCAAAAGGCCTGCACCTTTAGGAGCTCATGAGAGATAGCTTGGAAGCCAAGGCTTGGCTAAGACAGGAAAACCGGGTCACCTCTCCAATCAGCCTGACAGGCTGCTGGAGACACAAGGCTGCCCAGCCCTGGCTGTTATGGGCATTTGGGGGAGTAAGCCGGCATTTGGGGGAGTAAGCCGGCAGATGGGAGCATGCTCCATCACCTTTGCCTTTCCAATAAGTGAATAAATAAATAGTTCAAAAAAGATATGCCTGAGGTCTGACATGCAGGTTAAGCTACCACCTGCACTACTGGCATCCCACATGGGTGCATGTTTGAGTCCCTGGCTGCTCCATTGCCAGTCCAGCTCCCTGCTTAGGCACCTGGGAAAGCAGCAGATATGACTCAAGTGCTTGGGCCCCTGCACCTACTGGAATACCCAGAAGAACTTTCTGGCTCCTGGCTTTGGTCTGGCCCAGCCCTGGTCATGGTGGCAATGAGGGAATGGAAGAGACTCTGTCTTTCTCTGTCTTTCCCTTTGCCTAACTCAGCCTTTCAAAAAAATAATAAAAATAAATCCATATTTATTTAAAAACTGATATGCATGGATTTTAAAAATGTTTACACCAAAAGAGAGTCTTTTAATTCCCCCTATCCAGGAATCATTCTGAATTTGAAAACTAGAGACAGGGGTCCCCCATCCTCTGGCTCACTCCCCACAAATGCCCATAACAGGCAAAGCCAGGAGCTGGGAATTCAATCTGGGTCTCCCATGCAGGTGGCAGAGCCCCAATTCCCTGAACCAACATCACCTGCCAGTTCCCAGGGTATGAATTAACACAGAAACCTAGAATCTGCAGCGAAGCTGGGATTCAAACCCAGGCACTCTAGGCAACATGGGTTTGGGCTACCTAAGTAACAGCCTAACTGCTGACAGCCTAGACACCTGCCCCTCCCAAGGACCTTCTGAAGGCCCCTTGTAAAGGTCATATGTCTGACATTTAGAAGCATTCATTTTACGAGAGGTGTGTGGGTGGACAGAGAACTCAAGGCTGCCCATTCTAGATACCTCCTCCACGTAGGGACCAGGGCAGTCCTACGCCTGGTCTGCTGGGACCCTCTCAGGTACAGCCAGGATCAGAGAGTGAAAGTCAGCACTTAACTTCCTGCTTTGGAGGAAGTGAACTGGGGAGGAGAATATTTGCATATAAATTCATAGGGCTCAGTTACTGCTTATGATGCAAAACAGGAAACTACCCAATGGGGGAGGGAAAGAGGCAGAAGCATAGTCAAAGAAGGCTATCTCAGCTCATTGGTTGCCCTTTTGGGGTGCAGGCCCTGAGGGTTTTATCCAGGAGTTGCAAGGATCCCCAGCTCCCACCACTGCCCTAGCCCTGCCTGGCCCAGAGCCCTAGCCCTGCCTGGCCCTGTTGAGAGATAAGGCTGACACTGAAACTCCTACCATTAGGGGTTAAAAAGAAAATGCTGAGGTCAGCACCATGCTATGCCACATGTGTTATGCCAGCATCCCATATGGGTGCCAGTTCATGTCTTAGCTGCTCTACTTCCAATCCAGTTCCCTGGTAGTGGCTCAGCAAAGCAGCAGAAGATGGCCTAAGGACTTGGACCCCTATATCTACATGGGAGACCCGGAAAAAGATCCTTGGTTCTGGCTCTTGGCTTTGGATTAGCTCTGCTCTTGCCATTGCGGTCATCTAGGGAGTGACCCAGCAAATGCAAATCTGACCTCTTTTTGCAAACTGGCCTTCAAATACAAATAAAGTCAATCTCATAGTAAAAGAGGAAAGACTTTGAAAAAGTTTTAGAAAGATGTTATAGCCAGTGCTGATCTGTCTGTTCTGCTTCTGATCCAGCCCCTAACACACACACACACACACACCACCACCACCACCACCACCACCACCACCATCACCACCACCACCACCACCATCACCACCACCACCACCACCATCACCCCCCCACCACTATCCCCCCATCCAAGATGGAGCTTCCTGAATCCTGAGCAGTAAAGCGAAGGACAGGACAGGGCAGGGCAAGGCAGAGGGGAAGGGAAGGCACTTAGCTCAGATGGATGGTTTTCAGGGAAGCAGCTCTTGCGAGGCAGCAGCAGGAATACCTGGGACTGTAATTCTTTTCACCAGGAAGCTGGCTAAATGGACAACATACAACCCCAATGTCCCAAACCTGTCTGCTACTCAGTCTACTCAGCCCACTTGGGAGCTCCCCAGCCTGGCCTTGGGCCCCGGAGGTGGCCCCAGGACACACCCTCCCCAGCTTCTGCCCACCGAGTGACCTGAGCGCCCCAATGGTGGCCGACGGGTTGAAGATGATCTCGGCCCCGTTGAGGCTGTACATGAGCCAGTTGAGGGGGTGGTGGCGTCCGTAGCAGATGTTCACAGCGATCTTCCCCCACTGTGTCTGGAACACGGGGTGGCCCAGATTCCCCTCCATGTAGTAGGTTGACTGGAAAACAAAGAGCCACTCCTGTTGGTCTCTTGGAGCTGTCAAATGTCCTCTCCCTTAGACTTGGTGGACAAAAATGAAATGGCGCCAGTCGTGGAAAAGGCAACACTCTTGGGGTGTGCTACCTTAGGGGCCCACCATTTCAGTATGAGGGGGAAAAGATACAAAAAGTCAGTCAACCTTAAGGGGAAATCTCTCTGCAGCCTTCATGCACAGTCTCTTGTGATAAGCTGAAAATTCCCAAAGCAAGTTTCTAGAATGTTTCAAGGATAAAAGGACAGTCAGGTTTTAAGCATGGGACAACTGAAGGCAGAGGTCCGCCCAACATCCTCCCACCACAGGTCCTACACCAGAGGGTAGGTCCGGGCGACAGGGGAGGCATCCAGAGCGCCCTCCCCTGCTCAGAAAAGCAAACTGCCACTGGAATGGACGCATGGCCCGCCCAACTAAGTCCTGAACTGAGCGCAGTAGGCACAACCTGAAGGTGCTCTCTCTCTACACAACACCCTGGGCAGCCTAGATTTCTCCTGATTTAGGATTTCTGTGTGTGTGTGTGTATGTGTGTGGTCCCGGAGCACAGTGAGTAAAACTACTGTCGGCAATGCCAGAACCCGTATGGATGCCAGTTCGAGTCTCAGCTGTTCCACTTCTGATCCAGCTCCCTGCTAACGTGCCTAGGAAAGCAGCAGAGGATGGCCCACGTCCTTGGGCACCTGCCGCCCACATCAGAGGCCCAAATGAAGCTCCCGGATTCTGATTCTGGATGGGCCCAGCTCCGGCTGTTACAGACATTTGGGGAGAGTGAACCAGTAGATCAGCAGATGGAAGATCTTTCTCCCTCTCTCTGTAATCCTTCCTTTCTTTTTCTTTTCTTTCTTTCTTTTCTAAGATTTATTTATTTTTATTGCAAAGTCAGATATACAGAGAGGAGGAGAGAAAGAGAAAGATCTTCCATCAGATGATTCACTCCCTAAGCAGCCACAACAGCCAGTGCTACGCCGATCCGAAGCCAGGAGTCAGGAACTTACTCCAGGTCTCCTATGCTGAAGCAGCTGGAATTAGAACCAGCGCCTATATGAGACTCTGGGCGCGTTCAAAGCAAGGACTTCAGCTGCTAGGCTACCACACCAGGCCCTGTAATCCTTTCTAATTAATAGATGTTTATCTAGTTTATCTGTCTATCTATGTACCTAATCTATCTAAAAACAAGGACTGCCCAGCGCAAGCAGATGGGCAGTTGGGATCCATCCTCCTCCTGTGTGGGGGGAGAGGCAGACACTGGGAAATCAAATTCTCAGGGGCAGCCCTGAGGGAGGTTAGAGGGCAAGTTGGAGACCCAGTCAGATCGCTACCAGGGGCCTGTTAAAGCTTGCTTCCACCCACTTCAAAACTGGCAGCCAGGGCCAAGCAATCTCCCCGGGCAGAGTTGGGGTGGGCAGGAGGAGGAATGGTGGTGGTGCATGTAGTGGACACTGCAGCAGGTACTGCTGTGCTGAGTCCAGCCTGGTGCTGTCTGCAGGGTGCTAAATATTATTGGCCGGGTAAACAGGTTGGGGGCTCGCCCGCCAGTCCACCCCCCTCCAGCTGTAACTAAGCAGCACTGGGTTTGGCTTTGTCCTGGGGGAGCCCTGACGGGCGCTTGCAGCCTGTTTGCTCACACATCCAAAGAGCCTGGGAGTGGCTGGGACCCGTGAGCAGGGAGGAAAGGAGGCCACAGGAAGAGGGACGTTATGGACAATGGTGCTTATTGCAAATCAAGTTCAGGTTCAAAATCTTAGACACTGGGTAGAGCTCGTGTCTCTCCTCCAAAGGGCACCCATGGAGGGTCAGGACCCATCCATCCTACCAGCCTCCCTGACTTCTGCCCTGATCCTAGGCCTGAGACCCCCCAGTGCAAACACACACACACACACACACGGCAAACCTCTAGAATAAGGGCTGAACTGCCAGGCTGGGTGCTCAGAGCCAGAATGCGGCCCCGGGAACCATTGTACTTTAAAGCACGGTTGGTCTTGGCTTTCATTAGTACGCCCCTTACTTTGAAAAAGAATGTCAAATTACCCTGATCCCATCACTCAACATTCTAGACACGTAGGAGGGCACTGTACAGAGTTCACAGAGAAATGACAATCAGATACATTTTTTTTGGTACAAAAATGCTTAAAATCCATTCTTCACAATATACATTTTACATGAACTCGAAAAAACTATCTGAAAGGCAGAGTGAAAGAGAGAGAGAGAGACAGAGAATTTTTCATCTCCTAGTTCACTCATCAAATCAGATCAGCCATGGCTTTGCCAGGCTGAAGCCAAGAGCCAGAAATGCCATCTGGCCTCCCACCTGGATGGCAGGCACTCGAGGACCTGGGCTCTCCTTTGCTGCTTTCCCAGGCACATTAGCAGGGAACTGCAGGGGAAGCTGAAGAGCTGCATATGGGATGCAGGCATTCTAGGCGGAGGCTTAATGAGCTGTGCTACAACCCCTGCTTTGTGAAGATCCTGGAAGGCACGCCTTTCAGGGGTCTTTGACCCAAAATCACTTGTTCCTTCCATTTGCCATCAGCTTCCTGTAGTATCCTTATGTTGAAATAACATCCTGTTCTCCATAAAGATGTACAATGATTTTTGTATCGGCTGAAACAGATTTATTTTTTAAAAAGGAAAAACGTCAGGAAGTCAGGTTTTGTTTGAAAATACATAAAAATATGCACTGAGCTAAAGGTGTTTGGGGGACTTACCTGACAGCCCTGTCTACCCTGGTGAGGCAAGGTGACATGAGGAGTCCCACTAGGCTCTGACGTCATGCGATGTGGAGCATGATCTTACACAGGACTCCTCATCCACAACCCCCTATCCCCGAACCCACAGGGCCCCAGGTACCTGTGCATGAAAGGGGTATTGAAATGGCAGCACCATGATGTAGCACGCTAAACTTCTGCCTGCAGTGCCAGAATCCCACATGAGCACCATTTCGAATCCTGTTGCTCCATTTCCGACCTAGCTCCCTGCTTATAACCTGATAAAGCAGTGGAGGATGGTCCAAGTGCTTGACACCCTGTACCCATATGGGAGACCCAGAAGAGGCTGCTGGTTTCTGGCTTCGGATCAGCTCAGCTCTGGCCATTGTGGCAACTTGAGGAGTGAACCAGCAGATGGAAGCTCCTTTTCTGTCTCTTTCTCTTTCCGCACCTCCAGCACACACACTCCCTCCCTCTCCTTCCCTCTCGTTCAACTTAAAAGACAAAAAGAGAAAAGAGGGGCACGGAGCTGGGTTGCCACCTGACAATGGACAGGCTGACACCTGTCCCCCGGGCGAGCCTACCTCGTTGAAATCACCCACTCTGGGGATATGGTTCTTCCTGGTCTTGCCCAGGACGGCTCCTGAATTGGAGATCACCACGGCCGTGTTCCACAAGACGTCTCCATGACTTTGGTCCCGCTCTAAGATGGGTGACACCACCACCATCTCATGCTTCTTGGCCAGCTGGGGGAAAAAAAAAAAAAACAAAGCCTCCATTTCTATTCCATAGTCACAGTTTTTGTTTGTTTGTTTGCTTTTAATTGGAGAAGGACTTAATGATGCTACTAAATAATTAGGCCTGGTTCCGAGCGGTCACCTGCAGTAACTATTGTCTGGAATACACTTACTTGGTCAAGAGAGAATAACTACTTCTCTGGGCACTGCTGACAGGAACATCAAATAGCGCAGCCACCAAGGAAAACAATGTAGAACTGCCTCAAGAAACTTCGAGACAATATTAACATACAACCCAGCCACCCCTCTTGTGGGTATGCATGTGAAAGAACTGAAGGCAAAGTCTCCAAGAGATATGTGAATACCCATGTTCATAGAACAACATTTGTAAATTCGCCATTCATAAAAGCAGTTCAAGTGGCCAACACACAGATGCACGGGCCCAATGTGGAATAATCGATCATACATTAGATTGGTATTCCACTTTAAAAAGGAGGGGCCAGCATTGTGTCGGCATAGTGGGTCAAGCCGATGTGTGCATCCCAGATGCTCCGCTTTCAATCCAATCCCTGTGAAAGCCCTGGAAAGAGCAGTGGGAGATGTCCCAAGTGGAAGACCTGGATGGAGTACCCGGTTCCTGGTTTCGGCTTGGTCCAGCCTTGGCAGTTGCAGCCATCTGGGGGAAAGAGCCAATAGGTGGAAGATCTCTCTGTCTCTCCCTCTAGCTCTTTCAAATAAACAAATATATGTATATATATTAATGGAAGGATATTTTGATACTCTACATGGTGGGTCCACCTTAGGAATATTAAATAAGACATTCCAAATAAGACAAATACTGTACAATTCCACTTATCTAATGGACCTCAAACAATCAAATGCACAGAAGCAGACAAGCTGGCAGTTGCCAGGGGAAAGGGGCAGGGAGGAACAGGGAGGGAGCTTTTGTTGAACGAGTCCACAGCCTCAGGCTTGCAGAGCTTCGGGCTTTGGAAATCTGATGCACAGTAATATGGCTACACCCCACTAAAGTAACAATACATTAAAACTATTGACAAGGCAAATGTTCTAAAGATTTTTGAATTTTTTATTTGAGAGGTAGAGAGAAAATTTCCATTCACTAGTTCATTCTCCAAATGTCTATGACAGTCCAGGGCTGGGACAAGCTTGAACTAAGAGCAGATAATTCAATCTTTATAGAATTCAGTCTGTACTCAAGCCATTCCAGCAGTTGAGTCATCCACTTTTGTTGTTGTTGTTTTAAGGTAGATTTTACAGAGAGAGAAGGTCTTCCATCCACCGGTTTACTTCCCAGGTGACTGTAGCAACTGGAGCTGATCTGATCTGAAGCTGGGAGCCAGGAGCTTCTTCTGGGTCTCCCCAATGGTAGTAGGGGTCCAAGGACCTGAGCCATCCTCCGAAGCTTTCCCATAAGCAGAGAGCCAGATTGGAAGTGGAGCAGCCAGGATGTGAATCAGCACCTATAAAGAATGCTGGTGCCACAGGACGGAGGTGCCACTGTGCCAGTCCCAGGTCATCCAAGTGACCAGCCAAGGCACCTGAACACCTGAGCAGGAAACCAAAATTAGAAGCCAGAGCCAGCACTTGAATCTGAACACTCTGACGTGAGATGTAGGCTTCCCAAGTAGGCATCTTAACTGTGAGGTCAAACCCCCACTCCGATGCTAAATTACACACACACTTTCTCTCTCTCTCAAGAAAAATATTCATTTCACTTCTGGTATACACACACACACACACACACACACACACACACACACACACACACCCTAAAAACAAAACAAAAAACAGAAAGGCTTTTGGCACTGTCTTAGTCTACTTCACACAACTACATAACAGAATGCCCGAGAAAGTGTGATCTCTAAAGAGCTTTCCTACAGTTCTAGAGATGAGGAAGTTCCGAGATTGAGGTCTGCATCAAACAAAGGTCATTGTGCCACATCACCCCAAAACAGAGCTAGGAAGGAGAGCGAGCAAGAAGGGACTCAACTCATTTTGGTCTCATGAGATCCAAGTGAATCCATTCCCAGGATATTAAGTCTTCCTGACTTATCACCTCTTAAAGGTCCCCTCCTCCCCAGGCTACTGCCTGAGGGTTTAAGTTTCTTTCTCTTTCTTTTTTCCTTTCTGTCTTTCCCTTTCTTTTCTTTCTTTCCCTTTCTCTTTTTTTCCTCTTGCTTACTTTTTCTTTTCCTTCCTTTCTTCCTTCTGGTTGCTTTTCTTTTTTTTTTTTTAATTGGAAAGGCAGATCTATAGGAAGACAGTAAAACAGAAAGATCTTCCATCTGCTGGTTCACTCCCCAAACGGCTGCAACAGCCAGAGCTGAGCTGATCCAAAACCAGAAGCCAGGAGCTTCTTCTGGGTTTTCCACCTGGGTTAAGGGTGCCGGAGCTTTGGGCCGTGCTCGACTGCCAAGGCCAAGAGCAGGGAGCTAGATGGGAAGTGGAGTAGCTGGAACACAAACCAATGCCCATATGGGATCTCAGTGCTTGAAGGAGATTAGCCAAATGGGTCCTCGTGCCAGCCCCAGGGGTTTAAGTTTCTAACACAGGAATTCTAGGGACCTGTTCAAAATGTAACCATTAGTTCCTGAATCCCATTCATGCGTATCACAGGAGACAGCGGTGATGGCTTGAATAACAGCAGTAGGATTTGGTGACTGACACAAGATGGTCATTTGTCCTCAAGTCTAATTTGCCCAGGAGAAGGGGCAGAGGCGAGGCGGTGCAAGCAACATTAGGGGCCATTAAAAGGGCTGCCATGGACCCCTTGTTCCTCTTAACACAGACACCGCCCCTGACTCTGGCATTCATTCCAGCCCAGCCTTATCACCACCTGCCACAGCCCCCTTGCCAGTTCTCTTCCTGTTTTGCCATAGAAAGGAATTGACCGTTGAGTGAATGACTTCGGGTGAGACTTTTTTTTCCTCCCTATAGCCTGAGAAGACGGATGTCAGAGCTCACACTTGATTAGTGATAAAAATCGCTAGGATTACAGCTCTGCCCCCTGCAAGCCTGAGCAGGGACACAGATGGGAGGGGTCTCTGTGGTGCGACCATGTGTGACCTGTTGGTCCTTAAAGATAGAATTCATGTAGCATAAAACTCGCCCTGTGCGCATGTACGATTCGGCGGTTTTCAGCACATTCACAGAATTGTGCAACCGTCGCCACAGTCTAATTTTAAGACATTTCACCACCCCAGAGGGAAGCCCTATAAAGTTAGCCCTCACTCTTCCTCCTTACCCCCTCACTTCTAACCTCCGGCAACCACGCAGGCGCTTCCTGCCTCTCTAGATCTGCCAGTTCTGGACCGTTCACACCAATGGCACCATTCATCCAGCATGTGCAGTCAGGTTGTGATCAAGAAACACCAGACCCAGTTCCCACATGAATGAGACAGAGCCCTGCGGGGAAGCTGATGTGGTTGCAAGGATTGCACAGGTCCCGCTCCACAGGCGCCACCTCCCATTCTTGCCCGCATCATGGCTCATCTGATGGAGAAAGCCATTAAATGGCTGAATTTAAGCGAATATTCTCTATGTTGAGGGCAGCCAATAGTCTCAAGTAGTAAGACAAGAGGATGTGGACCCAGCGTGGTAGCCTAGCAGCTGAAGTCCTTGCCTTGTAAATGCCAGGATCCCATATGGGTGTCAATTCTAATCCCAATAGCTCCGCTTCCCTTCCAGCTCCCTGCCTGTGGCCTGAGAAAGCAGTTAAGGACAGCCCAAAGCCTTAGGATCCTACCCTGCATCCACGTGGGAGACCTGTAACAAGCTCCTGGCTCCTGGCTTTGGATCAGCTCACCTCTGGCCATTGTGGCCACTTGGGGAGTGAATCAGCGGATGAAGATCTTCCCCTCTGTCTCTCCTCCTCTCTGACTTTACAATAAAAATGAATAATAAATAAGTCTTAAAAAAAAAAAGACAAGAGGATGCATTCTACATGGTGAAGGAGTCCAGTCACGCGTGGGCACCGCCCTGTGACTGGCACAGCTTTGGCGTCCATGCCAGAGACATAGGTTGTGTCCTACCTTCTGACAGAAGCGGGTGGTGGGGCCATCCTCTGCTGACTCGGCAAACTCCGTCCAGGGCAGCTTCTCTCTCGTGCAGAAAGCAAAGGGCATAGCTGTCAGGAGGAGAAAGGGCAGGATCACATCCAACCTTGGCAGGAGGGGCGAGGGCTCAGGGCTCCTTAGCCCAGAAGCAGGAAGCTCCATGAGGGAGATAGACCAGGCTTAGTTTCTGAGTTCTGACCCTGGCCATGGGCACTGGGCAAAGTCCACCCATCTAGGCTTCCTGGTCAAGTGTCTTTCCAATAGCAGAGAGACCTCAAAAGAGAGGTGCGCGGTCATGTTCACAAGAGCCAGAAGGTGGAAGTGACCCAAGTGTTCATTAACGAACTGGGAAACAAACTGTGGTTTCTCCATGCAATTGCATGCTACTCAGCTTTCAAAGGGAAGGGATTTAAAATAAAAGATTTATTTATTTTTATTGGAAAGGCAGATTTACAGAGAAGAGAAAAGACAGAGAGATATCTTCCATCTACCGATTCACACCCCAAATGGCCACAATGGCCAGAGCTGAGTCAATCTGAAGCCAGGAGCTTCTTCCTGATTTCCCATGCGGGTACAGGGTCCCGAGGTTTTGGGCCGTCCTTGACTGCTTTCCCAGGTCATATACAGGGAGCTGGATGGGAAGTGGAGCAGCTGGGACACAAACTGGTGCCCATATGGGATACTGGTGCTCCAGGAGGATTAGCCAGTTATGCCACCACGCTGGTCTCAAGAAGGGTTTTTTGGCAGGTGCCACCAGCAGTATACAGAGAGGAGGAGATACAGAGAATCGTTTTTATCTGTTGATTTATTCCCCAGGTGGCCACAATGGCTGGTGTTGAGCTGATCCGAAGCCAGGAGCAAGGAGCTTCTTCTGGGTCTCCCACATGGGTGCAGGGTCCTAAGACTTTGGGTTGTACTTAACTGCTTTCCCAGGCCAGAAGCAAGAAGCTGGATGGGAAGCGGGGCCTCTGGAATATGAACCGGTGTCCATATGGGATCCTGGCACATGCACTGTGAGGAGGACTTCAGCCACTAGGCTACTGTGACAGACCCTCAGATGGAATTGATTATTGGCTTTAGCCTGGTCCAGCCGTGGCTGTTAGGGGCCACTTGGAGAGTGAGCTAACAAGCAGAAAACCTTTCTCTCCCTCTCTGCCACTCTGCCTTTCAAACAATAAATATGGCTTTAAAGAGCCAGTCATTTGATGACTTCACAAGACATCTGGGAACCACTGGATAGGAAGAGCATCTCTAAGCACCGATGCAGGATTCCCACTGATTCCCAGCAATGCCCACCAATGGCCTCACTCGGTAGGAAATTTCATTAAACCTACCTTTTCTGCTTGCTGTGTTTTCAAATAGCGGACACACGCACATATACACACAAACTACCTTCAGATGTCTATCACACACATGCACACCCCAGGTTCCCACAGCAGTGTCCTGTGTTGGGGGCAATAGCCATGGTGGTACACATCCCATTGGCTGCAGCCCCAGCTGTGCCTGCAATGTCTACAATACATAGAAACTCTTTTTCATTTCACTTGAGAGGCAGACCGAGACAGATCTTCTACCATCTGGTTCACTCCCCAAATGCCTGCAATGGCCAGGGCTACATCAGAACAACGCCAGGAGCATGGAGCTTGGTCATGCTCTCTCGGGAGGGGAACAGAAGCCAAGCACTCAAGCTATTGACTGCTGCCTTCTAGGGTGCATTTGTAAAAAAGATTCATTTGGGACCCAACATGATAGCTCAGTGGCTAAATTTTCACCTTGCAAGCACCGGGATCCCATATGGGTACCGATAAGCATCCCGGATGCTCCAGTTCCCATCCGGCTCCTTGCTTGTGGATGATGGCCCAAAGCCTGGGGAGTATGCACCCACATGGCTCCAGGTTTCAGATCGACTCAGCTCCAGCCATTGTGGCCATTTGAGGAGTGAACCAGTGGATGGAGGATCTTTCTCTGTTTTTCCTTCTAGAGAGAAGGAAATCTCTAAATCTGCCTTTACAATAAAAAGATAAATTAAAAATATTTTATGATGTTTACATGGTAGAGAAGGATGGACGCCCACGTGAATCACTGATTAGGGTGGGAAAGTTTGAGGAATGGGAGAAAGTAGGTGAGACAATTGTTTTCCCCCTTTTTTTCCTTCCTCTATCTGGAGGAAGGGAGCAGAAAAGAAATGATTTATTTGTATTTAATGGCACAGTAGTAGAGACAGTTGAGACAGAGAAATCTTCCATTTGCTGGTTCACTCCCCAGACGATCATAATGGCAGAAGTTGAACAAAACCAGGAGCTTCTTTCAGGTTTCCCGTGTGTGTGCAGGTACTCGAGGACTTAAGCCATTTTCAGCTGCTTTCTCAGGCCATTAGCAAGGAGGTGGATCTGAAGTGAAGCAGCCAGGACTTGAATTGGCTGCTGGGATGGTGGCACCACAGGCAGGGGCTTAGCATGCTACACCAAGGTGCTGGTCTCCCTGGGTGCACATTAGCAAGGAAGTTGAACATGAAGCAGAATCAGCATTTGAACCCAAGCATGTTGAAGTGGGATGTGGGTGTTGCAAATGGCATTTGTTTTAACTGCTGTGCCAAATGCTTGCCTACGTCACTCCCCCCAGAGTTCTCTGCCAGTCTGCTGGGGTGACCTTAGGTCTTCCTTTAATGGAACGGGGTCCCTCACCACCTGGTCCACACTTCCTGGGGCCATTTCTGTGTTCTCTTCCCTATTTTTTCTGCTTCCTCCTGGGCTTTTGGCATATTTCAATCTTTCTTTCAAGTTCTTGCTCCCTGCAAGGGTAAGAACTTAAAGTAGAGTGCAACGGGGAGACTAGGATGGATTTAGAATGGAGACAGATTGAATATTACACCTTCACATCTGTGCGTAAGTGTGGGCAATCCCATATGGAGAGACACCCATCGTTAGGGGGCCATGGCTGCCTCTGAGGAGGGAGAGCCGGAAGTGGCCAGAGAGGAACCCCGAAAAACCACTCGGAAACTGAGAGCCAAGAACAGCTGCTCCCACATTCTTTGTCTCTCTCAGATGAGGAAGTCTGCCCAGACTGAACAGACAGACTGGAGTTTAGTATGTGCAAGGCTTTCTGGGAGTTTCATGGCACCCCGTCTTGGAGCTTAACCCCCACGTGGCCATCATGTTCCTGGGTGAGACAGATGCATTGTGGGAAGTGGGTCTATTGATGGACAGCTGAGGGAGTAGTGTTATGGAGCAGTGCTACATAGAAATGATAAGCCTTTTTTTTTTTTCCAGTTTTATTCCCTCCCACCTCTCTGCCTAGCTCCCCTAGAACAAATATTCACTTTAGATCTCTCCCCTCACAAGAACCCATATGCATTTTTTTTTGAGATTTGCCTATATGAAGTTTCCAGATGTCTTATTGTTCTATTAACTCTGTACTACTTGTTAGTTATTTATTTGAAAGGATGCGTCATTGAGAGAGATCTATCTGCTGATCTACTACCCCCTACTCCAATGGCCACAGCCGCTGGTGCTGTGCCAGGCTGAAGCCAGGAGCTTCCTCTGAATCTCCCACATGGGCACAGGGGCCTAGGTACATGTATTATCTTCCATTGGTTTTCCAGGTACATCAACAGTGAGCTGGATTGCAAAGTGGAGCCACGGGGACTTGAACCGGCACCTATAAGAAATGCTAATGCTGAAGGCGGAGTCTTAGCCTGCTCTGCTGTGATTCCAGCCCTACTGACTACGTTTTGAGGAGATGTTTGCAGAAACCTGCATGACGTGATCAGGCAGCGTTTAACTGGCCTTGGCAGTAGTTGTAAGGCCTGAGAGTGGCAATTGCAGCCAACATTTCCCAGACACTGAGCCCCGTGTCAGGTGGGGTAACAGGCAGCAGGTGAAACCCTGCTCATCTCACAGAGAAGCCTCAGTCCCCACCTTCTTCCGGTCCTGGTGACTGGGGCACCACCTGTGTCCCCACGAGCCTCTGCCAGGCTTTTGTCCCAGGCTCCAGGCTCCCTTTAGGCAAGAGACCTGAACTATTTCAAGGAAGCCAAGCCAAGCCAAAAAAAAAAAAACCCAAAAAACAACAACAATAAAAACAAAACTGGGGATAACAAAAACTGCTGTGTAATGACCATGGCTTCTCAGTTCTCAGGGCTTTAAGGAGTGACTCAGGGGCCCCCAGAGAACAGGGCGGGCCCGTTCCGATTTCATTCTGAGTGGCTAAAGGGTTCCAGCTCTCTCTGCTTTCCATTGAATGGCTTCTTTTCCTGTTTACACAAACCTTTCATGTCAACAAGCTTCCAGCAGAAAGCTGTGCAGGGAGGGGGAGGTGGGGCAAGGTTGGTAGCAAAGTCCTAACTTCAGCTGCCAAACGGGAGGGGGAAGGAATTCCCACACTCACGGATCCCATGATGCTGTTGCAGATTCCCAACTGGGATCTGGCACTGTCCCCTGCAAATATCAGTCCACGGGGCAGGGGTGACTTGTAATGGGGGATGGCCACATGGCCTGGGAGAACAACAGTGAGTGCTCAGTTCTGCCTGGCAGAGTCCCCAGGGCCCCACAAAGGCACTGATGGATGACAGGGAGCTTCCAGACCCGATGAAGCTGGAAAACTGCATTTATAAGTGCCTGCCATCATGTACCAGAGACTGTTGTAGCCACTCTGTTTACAGTAGGAAAGCGGGTGACGAAGGGAGGGACCGGCACTGGGGTGCAGTGGGTTGCCTGTCGATGCTGGTGTTTTATCCGACTGCTGCCAGGTTGGGGTCCCGGCTGCTCTGCTGCTGATCTAGCTCCCTGCTTACGTGCCTGGGAAGACGGTGGGAGATGGACAACGTGCTTGGGCCTGGGCCGCTCACGTGGGAGATCAGGATGGAGTTCCTGGCTCCCGGCTTCAGCTTAGCCCAAATTTGACTGTTGTGGTTATTTGGTGTCAGAAGACACCAAATAACAAGATGTCAGAAGATTGTCTCTTGGGCCTGGCACACTGGCTCAACTGGCTAATCCTTCCCCTTCAAGCATTGGGATCCCATATGGGTGCTGGTTTGCATCCCAGCTGCTCTACTTCCCATCCAGCTCCCTGCTTGTGGCCTGGGAAAGCAGTCGAGGACGGCCCAAAACCTTGGGACCCTACAACTATGTGGGAGACCCGGAAGAAGCTTTTGGCTCCTGGCTTCAGATCAGCACAGCTCCAGCCACTGCAGCCGTTTGGGGAATAAACCAGCAGATGGAAGATCTTTTTGTCTCTCCTCTGCAATGTGCCTTTCCAATAAAAATAAATAAATCTCAATAGGAAAAAAAGATTGTCTCCTGTCAATCTGTTTTTCAAAGCAATCACTCAATTAATCTTTTAATACAATAAATAGGGGCAGTGATAAGGAAAACAAACAGAAGCACTGGCCTTAGGGAGCTTAATTAAGCCACACTGGGGCAGGCATTTGATCTAGCAGTTGACTGCCACTGGGGCACCTGCCTCCCATCTTAGGGGGCCTGGGTTCGAGCCCCAGTTCTGGCTCTTGATTCCAGTTTACTGCTTTATAAACAACTTCCATTTATTTAAAAAAAAATTAGTTGGTTTTTGACAGATCCAGTTTGCAGATAACATTTGAAGAACATAACTATTACTGGCTTATTGTTAACGCACATTCTGGGGGCAGGAGATGATGCCTCAAGTGGTTGGGTCCTCGCCACCCACACGGAGACTGATTTTTTAGCTCCTAGCCTCAGCCTGGCCCAGCCAGCACCTTGCTAAGGCACCTGGGAAAGCAGCAGAAGATGGCCCAAGTATTGGGACCCCTGCCATCAAAAACGAGAAAGAAATGCAAGACTGGGTAGAAGGGTTGAATGACAAATTAGATGGGGTTGGCAGGAAGTTGAGTCAAAAGAGAGAAAGAAACATAAAAAAATAAGAAAATACCTAGGAAAAAAATCGGGGAACGAGTTCAGGGTTCCCACATCCAACTAGCAGATGGGTCAGGAAGAAAGAAGAGGAGGCAAGTATTATATAAACATTAGAGGAGGCCATAATTTCAGATGGCGCTCATTGATCAGGAATCCCAAAATGGAGTCAGTTGGGGCAAATGTCTCAGCATGGCAGGTTAGGCCGCCCCTTGGGACGTCGGCACCCCACAGCAGAGTGCCAGTTTGCACAGCCCCTATTTCACTTCCAGTTCGGCTCCCGTGCTATCACGTCCTGGGAGGCAGAGGAGAAGGGTCATGTGCCTGGGCCCCTGCCACTCACATGGGAGACCCGGCAGATGGAGTTTGCGCTGCTGGCTTCAGCCTGCCTCTGCTGTAAGCGTTCGGGGAGCAAAGCGGTGGATGGAAAATCTCTGTCTCGTTGAGTCTGCTTTTCAAGTAGATGAAAATTAAAAGAAAAAGAAATGGGAGTCACTCATGCTGAAATTCAGCATCACTGAGCAAAAACCAAGTTACTGCCTGACCTGAGAAAGCAGGAGACAGGCATCGAATCTCCCAAGGGGCTAGCATCCATCAGCCTGATCCAGGCGGGCTCTCCTTTAATCCTTACAGAGACAGTAACCTGACACCCAGACAGCTAGTTTTGATTGTTCTGTCCCCTGAAATCTTGGCCTTCTCTTTGTTCTGATTTTTGTTTTGAAGATTTATTTATTTGTTTGACAAGCTGAGTTACAAAGAGAGAGAGACAGATCTTTCATCTGCTGCTTCACCCCCTAAATGTTGACAAAAGCTGGCGCTGTGCCAGATTGAAGCTAGGAGCCAAGAGCTTCCTTCAGGTCTCCTATATAGATAGAGGTGGTCCAAACATCTGGGCCATCCTCTGTTGCGTTCCCAGGCATATTAGTAGGGAGCTGGATCAGAAATGGAGTTTCCGGGGCTGAAACCAGCAGCCCTGTGAGATGCTGATGCTGCAGGCAGAGGCTTAATGTGCAGTGCCACAGCAGTCCCATAATTCAGCTTTCTACAGCCCTTCTCTATCTAGAAAGCCAGACTCTTATGTTTGGCTTCATTGCAACATCCATTCTATTTTACAGAATCAGGGCATCATCTGGCTTTAGAATCACAAATGAACCCAATCAGACCTTTCCATTTGTTCTTTTGCCTTTGGACAAGAAAAAAGAGAGAGAGAAAGAGAGAGAGAGAGAGACTAATGATACAGGTCAAAAAAACCTCCTAGTTGAACAAGACTAAAATTTCTAGAGTGGGAGAACCCACTGAGTGCCCAGAATAATGGGTTGAAAGAAACACACACACCCCAGACATCATTGTGGCATCCGTCAAAATAAGACAAAACTCTAGAGTCTTCCAGAGATAGGCAAGTCGAACAGAATGGGCCATCCACTGCTCAACACTCACAGGTAGATGATGGTGTTGTGTGCTCAACCCCTACCTGGAAGGAACATATTTCTCACCTAGAACTCAACACCTACCAGGCAAGATGTACAAGAAACACATTTTGACATAATGCAAAGTTTCAAAAGCGTTGACCTGTTCTGTGTTCCTTTTCAGGGAATCGCTCCACCAAAACGGTGCTGGTGGTGAGGGGGTGTGCAACCGAGAAAGGAGAAGCTGTGGGATCGGAGAAAAACACAGGCACCAAAGGGCAGGGACTCTCCAGGGTGATGTTCTAGGGAGATTCCGGGCAGCAGCCGTGTGGCCAGCAGAGGGGGCACCGAGTCCAGACCAGAGTGGGCTGAAGGCTCGGGTGGATTCTCAGGAGATGGGATTGAAAGGCTGCTTGCTGTGTTTGAATTGGGTAAGGGTGTGTGTGTGTGTGGGTGGGTGGGTTTGGGTGGATGTGCAGGGGTGGGGAAGGGGAGGAGGTTGGGGAACCAGGAGGGAGCATTACATTACGGCTGAACTTGTGGCAGGTCGAGTACAAAGCAAACTCTGCACAGAGCATGGAGCTTGAAGCAGGAAAGGAATCAGGGCTGTTAACGTGGCTTGGTGCAGGCAGAGTGGACTGGGGACAGACTCTGAAGGCTGCAAGTAAGGAGATGAGCCAGCAGCAGGCAAACAGGTCAGGCAGTGAACAGACACAGCAAGGCTAAGAGCCCAGGAAGGAGCGAATGAAACAGGTGGCTTCCTGAGCAGCTGGGAAATCCCGAGCCAAAGCGGCCTTGGGAAAAGCACGAGAAAGATTATTTTATTTTGGTAATGTACCTTGTGGTTCCATTTAAACCTATGGGAATGACTTTGTCAACATTCAAAATAACACAAAGGAAAAGGTACAGGGTACCAAAAGCATTGTCAAGGTACGTCAGAGAATTTGTGGAAAGATGAATTAAAAGGTAAACTTAGGGGCTAGTGTTATGAGCCCAGCGTCAGCATCTCATATGAGCACCGGTATTCGAGTATAAGCTGCTCCACTTCCGATCCATCTCCCTGCTTATGGACAGGGAGGCAGTAGAGAATGGCCCAAGTGTTGAAGGATCCCTGCATCCATAGAGGAAACCAGAAGCACCTCCTTGGGCTCTTGGCTTTGACCTGGCCCAACCCTGATCTTTGCGGCCATTCGGGGAGAGAATGAGCAGATGGAAGATTTCTCTGCTTCTCCCTCGGTAACTCTGCCTTTCAAACAAAAATCAAGAGATCATTAGAATTTAACTTGGTGCCAGAAACTGTTAAAATTTATAGCTTTCTCTGAATATGCATTCCCCATGAACTTCTGGAATATTCCCTTCCATACTCAGGGGCCTCAAATTTATGCTGGGAGGCCAGCTCTGAGCTGAGATCTGAAGGTCATGGGTGAGGTGAGGAATGCATACCAGAGGGCAGAAGATGAGCTGGGGGGTGGTAATTACAAAAGCCAAGGATGGTGTTTGGAAGCTTGAACAGGGCACTGGGACAGAGGTACAGGCATGAATGGAACAAACAAGTTCAGACAACAGATTGGGGTGTGTGAAGAGGAGGAGGAGAAAGGCCAGGGTTCCTAGAAAGGGCCAGAAAGAGCTCTCTCTACTAATTCACTCTCCAAACACCTGCAGTGGTCACAGTTGGACCAGGCTAGACTTGGGAGCCAAGAACTCAATCCATGAGCTTCCCATGTGAGTGGCAGGGACCCAGTTACTTGAGCCATCACCTGATGTTACCTTATGTCCAATTCAACAGGATGCTGGAGCCAGGCACTGAACCCAGACACTCTCACATGGGAATGCACGTTTCCTAACTAGTATTTGAACCACTGGGCCAAATACGAACCCCAAAGAAAGCAGATAATCTGGGGGGCAGGCCTAGCAGCTATGAGACTGGTTAGGATGTCTGCATATCCCAGGCTGGAGGACCTGGGACTGCTCCCCGACTCTGCTTCCTAATTTCAGCTTCTCTGTTAATGGGGATGGGAATGGAGAGGGTGCATGTCTTTGGGTCCCTGACATCCAGGTGGGAGATCTGGACTGAGTTTCCAGCTTCAGCCTTGTCCAGACCTGGCTGTTGCAGGCATTTGAGGAGTGAACCAGTAGACACAAGTTTCTCCCTCTCCCTCTTTCAAATGAGTACAAATTGAGAGTAGACAGGGCTCAAGCAGCAGACACTTAGCAATAGGGAGATGAGGCCCCCGTTGTCAGAGAAAGCATCGCAAGGGAGACTTACTCCACGCCTCCTGGAAGCAGATGATGTTGACGCCGCACATGGCAGCCACCTCTGCGATGGCTTCTATGCGTCTGTGGAGGGCCGAGACCTGATGATTTAGAAAGCAAGGCTTAGAACCCAATCCATTTTCTTGCTGGGACCATTTTCAGAATTCATCTCAACGCACATGGTACAACTAGACTCCACCCTCCCACTCCCACCCCTGCCTCCCTCCGCCCCCAGGCCAGGTAGGAAGAGGATGAGCAAGGTAGGGGACTCTTGTCAGGTGCAAGGAAATGGAGGTGGTGTAGTGATGCTAGGCACTCCAGAAATGCGGGTGATGGTGCCCTGATCTCCTCATCTGATAGTAGCAAGCCTGGGACCTGTTTCAGGGTGAGGGCAGGGATGGGAGGTTGCTGAGAGGTATAAGTAAGGAAGGGTCCATTTCGTCAGCAGAGCCTTCCCGAGCCTGGGACACACAGCCTGGTTGTCACTGCCTGCATTGATACCTGCCATCTGTCCTTTCCTCTGCATGCACCTCATCGCCGGACAAACCAATCTTTCTGGTTTGGTTCCATCTTCAAGCTCTGAGGTGTGCTCCCTTGGTCAAGAGGGTCTTTCCAACATCCCAGTCTTCCCAAGGGTATCACAGGTCACCCCTCTGTAGAGTGGGATCAGTGGTGGTGCTGGTGGTAGTGGGGGACAGCAAGCAGGTGCCTCCCAGTTTGTGGGCAGCCACCTACCTTCACAGCAGTGCTCTTCTGTCACTGTTCTTTTGTCAGCCCCCCTCCCTCCACCCCGGGAACCTGATGAAGCTGCTTGGAGCTGGGGAGCAGGCACACCCGGCACCTTGCTGTTCTCATCAAGTCCCCAAGCTCTCATGAGACACTGAGGCGTGCGTGCCTGGGCTAAGGAGCCAGGCAGGCAGACAGCGCAGAGCACGCTCCCGTCCTGTTAAGAGGCTGTGCCTTCCCTGAGAGATTTGTGGCCAGCACTGGCCGTGTGCACACTGGGTGTTGGCCATCAGCAGAGTGTCCTTCTAAGATGTCATGGGGGTACAGGGCGTGGCAGCCATATCCCTAGTCCTGTTACCCAACAGTCTGGGGGAAGTAACAGGGACACAGGTGCCAACAACGCATCCAAGACACAAAAAGGCAATGGAGGCCCTGAGGGCTTGTCATCCAAACACATTTGTCATTGCAAAGAGAGGACTGATGCAGAGGTTGACACATAGCCCAGCCTGGCATATACATTCCTGAGGCTTCTCCAGTGTCCTGGAGGGGTCTTAGGCACCCCAGTATGTTCCCCAAAATAAAGGGAAGTCACAGCTCAGCAAAAGAAAGGGGGCTGCACCTGCTCTGCCACAGGGGCATCCGTGGGGAGGGGCGTTCTATTCTGTACCAGCCCCACACGCACGAGGCGGGGTGGTCTCAGCTGCTCCTCGGCTGCCTGGAAGCCATAGCCTTGCAGTTCGAAGTCCCCTCTGGCGGCGGCTTCCCAAGCACCACTGGGTAGATCCTGTTTCCTGAAACGAGACAATGCTGATGTTTAAATGCTGGGTTTAAAAGCCTCCTTCCAATGTCTCATAGTTGTCCATCCACTGGAGGAGGGAGCTGGTGCACCCTGGTGAGGTGTTCCATGCTGGGGACTATGCCGAGTCTGAACTTTGGTAATGGGGAGGCTGCAAGGAGGTGGTGTGCCTGGCCCCCAGCCAAGGAGGGCGTCAGGGTAACGGATGAAGAGATATGTTTCCAGAGTGGCAGAAAATCAGGGCAGTGATTACTAAAGTCTACAAAAGTCAAAGGAACAGATGTAAAAAAAAAAAAAGTTTTCAAAGGAGAACCAGAGGTTATGTGGAGCCTTCGGAATGGGACCAGCTATGACGGGAGAGGGGGACTCTAGAGGCAGAGACACCAGTGGGCCGTGTTAAAGAGCGTGATCCTGGCATGGTTCTCCTTGCACGGGGCCGGTCCCACACCTGCTGCCTTGTGGACTCGACCAGCCCTGGTGTTTAGACCAAAAGATCTAAGTACTCGCCCAAATCTGTGGTTCATTAACAAAACCTCCCACTGAAGTGACCACTGGCCAGCCAGCAAACACCTCGCGATGCCCGCTGTGTGCCTAGGGCTGGGGTTAGGGATGAAACTCACAGACACACGGGACACGGCCCCTGGCTGGTGGCCAGGAAGAGCACACCATGTAAGGACAAAGAGGATTATGAAATACCGCGGGGAACGCATCAAAAAATAACCTGACAGTCATTATCTAATAATAATATTTCTCTCCTACTTTAAATCACTTTCTTAAAGACATTTCTTTCAAAAATCACAGCCCTGTCAGTCTGAGCCCCTCCACCCCACCCCTCCACGTCGCCGCCCCCCTGCCACGCATTCTTTTTTTTTTTTTTTTTTAAATGTGACGGAGTCCTGACAAGCTCCAAGTTCGGTTCCGCCCCTGACAATCAGCCTTGCTTTTCAAAGAGGCAAGATCCCCTCCTCCCCTCTGGCAGGTTAGAAATAGCAGCAGTGCCCACACCGTGCCTGCCTCCCAACTCTTCCCACTCTTAGGCAAGGACCCTCCCTACCTCCCACCCCACTTTTTAAAAAAATTTTTTTGGGGGTAAGCGATGGCCTCAAGGCAACTTGTCCTTGGCAACCCTGATCACAAGATTTTTTCCAGAAACTGCCAGCTAGGAACTGACTCGGGGGAGCAAAATGAGCTCCTTGGGCACTTTGGGGATGTGCCCTCTTCCCAGGAATGTGGGACGCATATGCCCGGCTGTGGCCACTTCCCAGCCGACCCCTCTCTCCACGATCAGCACTATGTCCCTGCTCCCCGTCTTCCATCTATCTGGAGTTCTGTCTCTACTTCTGCCAGCCCTGGGATGTCTGCCTCTTCACGTCTCTCCCTCTCCTCTACCCCCCTCCCCCCGCCACCAGTTCCTGGTGGACATACATTCTCAGGGGCTCCAGGCCATGCTATGCCATGCCATCCTCCAAAATCCAACCTTGGCCTGGAGTTCTGCCTCTTCTGTGCTGTCCATGAGACCTCTCTGCTGTCCTGTTACCTACAACAGTCACTGAACCAGTTAACAGATGTTCTTTCTTTTTCTTCTAAGTCTTTCAAATAAAAATAAATATCTAAAGAATCCCTCAGAGTTTAAACATGCTTATAGAGGGAGGAAAATATCAAATGGTCACAAAGGCTATGAAATAAAAGCTAAGTTCCCCCTCTCTAGCCCACCACCAAACCCCAGCTGCCAACCGCAGTCAGGGCCAACATCTGCATGTATCTTTCCAAGGGGTTTCAATTGTGTGTGTGATGAACACAATAACAGTGTTCTGTATTTTCTGCTCCACCCTTGTCTTTTCCCCTTGACAACACAGCACTTCAACGAAGTCACAGGAAAAAAAAAAACCCGAAATTAAAGAATAGGTTTATTTTGGTGCAAAAAAAATTATCACATAGTTTGTTTTTATTTTTAAAAAATTTATTAACTTGTATTGGAACGTCAGATTTACAGAAAGAAGCAGAGATGAAAGATCTTCCATCCCCTGATTTACTCCTCAAGTGCTTCCAATAGCCAGAGATGAGTCAATCTGAAGCCAGGAGCCAGGAGCTTCCTCCGGGGCTTCCACGCAGGTACAGGGTCCCAAGGCTTTTCGGCCATGTTCTACTGCTTTCCCAAATAAGAAACTGAATGGGAAGTGGAGCAGCTAGGACATGAACCGGCACCCACATGGGAAAACACGCGAGGACTTTAGCCACTGAGCCATCACACTGAGCCTTTATAGTTTTTCCCCCCATATTATGCAGTTTGCACAAACTTTCTGAAGACCTCTTGCAAGTATGGATTTCAAATTTTTTTTGCACCAAAATTAAATTTTTAAAACTTATTTATTTTTATTGGATAGACATATCAGATTTATGGAGAGAATGAGAGACAGAGAGAAATATCATCCAACTGCTGATTCATTCCCCAAATGGCCACAATGACCTGAGCTAAGCTGATCCAATGCCAAGAGCCAGAAGATTCTCCTAGGTCTCCATGCAGGTGTAGGGCCATCCTCTACTGCTTTCCCAGGCCATAAGCAGGGAGCTAGATGGGAAGTGGAGCAGCCAGGAAACAAATCGGCATCCTTATGGGATCCCAGTGCTTGCAAGGTGAGGATTTTACCATTGAGCCATCATGCTGAGCCCAAAATGAACTTTATCATTCTATCATCCATGAACACCTGCCCCTTATGATTACCCCTAGACCTACCACATCCCCCATTATAGCTGTCGGAGTCGGTCCAGTTAGCAACACAGAAAACCACGTGTTGTAGTTAAGACACCACTTGGAATGCCTGCATCTCTTATTTGAGCAGCTATGTTCAAATTCCAGCTCCACTTCCACTCCCAGCTTCCTGCTCATGCGCACCCTGGCAGGCAGCAGGAGATGGTTGATGGAATTGTACACCTGCTGCCTCCTTGGGCTCCTGGCTTCAGCAGGAGCTCCCCCACCCCCCTGCACACTTCCCTCAGTTCAGCCTTCCCTCCCATACTTTCCCCCACAGAGCTGGGTTCCCTGGCTCTCACTCCCCACCTTGGGAACAGCCAACAGTCTCTCCCTTGCTACAGCCACTAGCCTCCCTGCTGTACACACCTGAATGACATCTGAATACCAACCCCTATTCCCACTGCCTCCAGTCCTTGCACCTTCCCCACCTCAGTCTCCCACAGTGTCTCTATTTCTTCTGATCCCTTCAACATCCAGGTTCTCCAGCTTTCCCTCTGGACTACTCCTTGACTTGGCCATCTCCAAGACAGCACCCAAGCTCAGCCACCTCCTGCCCCAGGGCCCACCCATGCACAGAATCCAGCCAACAGTCTCCTTCTAAGACCCCAAAAGGCACTAGCTGTAGCATAAAGGATATTCGCAGCTTAATCCCCAGAGCCTGTGAAAGTGACCTTACTTGGATAAAGAGTCTTCACAGATGTCATTAAGGTAAGGATCTTAGGAGATCACCCTGGATTATCTGGGTAAGCCATAAAGCTAATACTTAAGTATATCAGTCAGCTTCCCAACATGTTAACAGAGGGCCACATAGTATGGACACAGGTTTATTCTGATTCCTGGTTTTGGAGGTTTACAGTCCAAGCTCACACAGGTTCCACTTGGTCCAGCTGTCTGGGGAGGATGGCCATGGCAGAGCTCATATGTAGAGAAAGGGTTACACGGTGAGCCAGAAAGCAGAGAACAGGTTATTACCATGCCTGGAGCTTTCATGGCCAACCATCTTGTAAGAACTACCTTCTTGGGACCCAGCACGATGGCCTAGCAGCTAAAGTCCTTGCTTTGAACCTGAGGGTCCCATTCTTCCAAGAACCCATCACTCTTGGTTTTTTCTGTAGTCTGGGCCAGTGTACTGAGTTCCCAGAATCCACTCTGGCTATTCCTGGTCCCTGTCTGGAGTGTTCCCCATGTCACTCACCAACTATTTCTCTGACATGTGCAGTCTCCAGTGTGGGCAGGTCTCCTGGCATCTGGGGACAGGAGCCCCTTCTGTTGACCACCTCTTTCCCTTTCAGGATGCATGACAACCATAGCCTTCCCACCCTGTCATGGGGAGATTCCTGATTGTTCCCACCCCTAAACATGGAAACTCCTTTAAGCTTTCCCAGAATCCTTCCCTCACAACATAAGCGAACCATCAGAAGTTGGAAGGCCCCAGGGACATGCACCATGGTCTTTTCATCCTTATATTTCTCAAGGTCCTAGATGAAAACAGGTACTTGGCAAATGATTGTTGAACGAATGGATTGCTCATTGGTTATGTCTTCAAAATGGACATTTGATGCTCTCTGGGGATTTTATCCATTTGGCACAGACAAAGCCCCATTTAGCTCATTCACTCAACAAACATTTACTAAGTGCCATCTGAGTCTTGAACATAGCGAGTAATTCAGACAAGTCCCAAACAGAGTTGGGAGCCTGAAGGAGGGAATGAGGACTCTGGGCTCTCCCAGGCCATCACAGAGGTAGTCATGTCCAAGATGGGATTTGAGGAATTAACAGGAATTTACATGCAACAAGAGTTTTTCATGAATAATGATTTTCTATCTTCATTTGCAGCCAAATGCCACCCACCTGTCAGGACTGGACAAGTACAAAAGTTTATTAAAGTTTATGGTTCTTATTAAAAGTTTATTAAAACATGGAAGGGTTAAGTGTACAGTGGAACAGACCCAAAAAAAGAAAGTATTTGAAAGGCAGTTATAGAGAAAAGAGATCGAATGATCTTCCATCTGCTGACTCACTTTCTAAATGGCTGAGATTAAGCCAGACAGAAGCCACAAGCCCAGAATTCCATCCCAACAGGTGTTTTGTTGGGGTGGCAGTGGCCCAAGTCCATGATGGTCTTCTACTGCTTTACAAGGTATATTATCAGGGAGCTGGATAGGAAGTGGAGCAGTCGGGACTTGAACTGGCACTCCCATGAGATGCTGGTGTTACAGGGCTATTGCCACCTTGCTGGCTCCTGGGGACCCAATTATTTGATCTGTCACCTCTGGTCTGACCTATCCCTGAGGGTATGCATGAACAGGAAGTTGGAGTCAGGATCCGAGGCTGGGGACCGAACTCAGGAACACTGTTTGAGAATGCGAGTGCTTTCATGGCTACATCAAAGACCTGCCCCCTATCCCCCACCACATGATCACTCTTGACAGGTGCAGAGGAAAGTGGTACAGCCAGAGAACTATGGAAAAGGCCCTGATGCTCACCCAGCATCAAATTCAGTATCCCCTCCACCAGGTGTGGAAACTCCCGGATGTGAGGATTGGCGTCTCTGAGCTGCACAGCCACGACGGCTGTGAACTATGGATTCAACCAACACCTGCCCGGGATAGGTGAGCTCATCAAGTTCTGGCCACACAAGGTCACTGCCACAAGGTTACAGACAAGCATCCTGGCTGCAGTTGGTATAAAGTGGCACAGCACCCACAGAGGAGCTAGTAAGTGAAGGGTCAGCCTTGGTTTGTGTTCTGAGCCCTGGAAGTTCTTTTCTGCATTTGGAACAAGCCCAAGTGCAACCGGATAGGGTTTACATTTTGAAAAGAGATCCTCCTGGTAGAGTAGGAGGAAGAAAGCACGGAGAGAGAAACGGGGTCACGGTCTGGTCAGAGCCATGCCCCCAGAAGGCCCCAGTGATGGGCACAGCTTGCTGTGAGTAGGAAAACATTTGCATGGAGGGTGATGGCTCTTGGGGCTTGCCAGAGTGGTAAGGGTTCCTTTGCCAACTGGGTTCAGCTGGCCTTCAACTCCAAGGTCTCCGAGACCCAGGCCTCTGTAGAGAAGGAGAGTCTGGGGTTGAGGGAGGGGGAGCTGGACAATCAGCATGCCTGGTTGAGGGAGGGGAGCTTTGATCGGAGGCACTGACCTACCTGGTCACACACAGAGGACAAGCCTAGCTCTGAGGAGGTCTCGCAAAATGGGGAAGGGCGTTAGGATGGTCAGAGAGAAAGTTGTGGAGGTTCAAAACCTCCCCTTTAGTTTATATTAGTTTGCAAAGGTCACTGCAGGATGCCAACAACCCAGAGGCTTGTTGGGTCTAGACCTTCTACAGTCTCTGCTCAGCTACTAAAGATTTCATCTTCACCCTCTGGGGACACCTGCTCCGCCCCTCCCCCTCCCTCCGCACCCCCAATTCAGCCTCTGGATAGCAGACCTGGTCTCCTTGCCATACAGAATGCGCTTCACCTCCTTCAAGTCTGCAGGTGGCAGGTGCTTCTCCAAGCATTGCTCCAGCGACTCCCACTCCGGTTTCGCCATGGCGAGCAGTCCAGCAACTCTGCTGCCAGACCTGAACTGCCTGCCCTTTGCCCCTAGGAGAAGGAGGTGGTGGGAAGTCTGCGCAAGCGTGCTGAGTTCCTGAGTTCTGCTTGAGCTAGCAGAATCCCCAGAATCCCGGGGCAAGGCTCATGTGTGGGCACGCCCACTCCTCGCGCCTCTGTGGCTCACAGCCAATCAGAGCTTCAGGTCTTCGCAGGGAGGCCCGCCCCTCACCCTTCCTGCCTCCTTCGGCAGGCTGCAGGATACAGCCAATCAGCACTCCCGACACTAGCGAGAGGGCCCGCCCCCGCCCTTCGCACCTCCTTCAGCATGCGCCGCCGCTCCCGCCTCCGAAGCTCACAGCCAATCAGAACTTCAGAATTTCGCAGAGAGGCCTGCCCCTCACCCTTCCCACTTCCTTCGGCACGCGCCTCCTTCCTCAGCGCAGCAGGACACAGCCAATCAGCGCTCCCGACACTCGTGAGAGGGCCCGCCCTCGCCCTTCTCGCCTCCTTCGGCACGCCCCTTCTACGACTAGCCGGCCATTTGCCTCAGGTGTGGTGGTGTCGAAGCCCTCGCTTCCTCCTCGCCGCTGCCGGTTCCAGAACGACGCCTCAGGGCAGAGGAGACGAGGCAGGCCCGAGGTTCAGGCGCGAGGACTGGGCGCCCTCTCAGCTCCCGGGCCGCACCGCACAGGGGGCAGCAAGCCGGGCCATCCTCACTGCGGAGGGAAGGTACGGGCGGCTGGGGGCCGAGCGTGGGGCCGGTACCGGGAGGCAGCGGTGCCTTTCTTCCCACAGGCGGCCGGGGTGGGGGTCTCCCCAGGTGGGATGGATGAGGTGACGGCAGCCTGCGGGGGGACCCCGGTTCACCTCCCTTGTCTGTGCGGCGCGGGCAGCGGTGCCCATAGGGGCGGTGTTCCTGGGTGAGGGGAGTGGAGGTGCAGACTTGGGGGGGCTGAGACAGGGTGGCGCCCCATTTCCTCCCCTCTGCTGAGCATTGGGGCCTGGTAAACCCAGGTTTCCTCCCTGTTCTGCCCAAATCCTGACACAGCTGCTTGGCCTAGCTGGTGGTGAACCGAGCTGGGTCCTTCAGTCCTGGGGGCGGGCTGCTTGCTGTTTCTGTGTAAAACAGGACCCCGCAGAAGGCCTGTGGCAGGGTGGTAGAAAAGTGAGACCAGGTGGCTCCCCTCTCCAGGATGGAATGCTATTCAGCTGTGGGAAAGGATGCCCTGACATGATCATGGAAGTGGGCCGCGCTGGGCACGGAAACACCAGGTCTCGCTGATGACTGTGGAGTCTAAGCAAGCGTTGATTGAGAAAAGCTGTGACTTGGAGTGGTGGTTTGCCAGAGGCTGGGGGTGGGGTGGGGAGCGGTGAAGAAAGGTGGATGGACCAGTGAACAGAACGTCTCTGGTCTCCCCTTCTCTGCAATTCTTTTCTTCCACTAAGACTCTCAGAAGCACGTGCTACTGCCTATGCATGTACGATTTTACATATCCATTAAAAGTGGAAAATTTATTATTATTTTTTAAAGTGAAAGACAAAAATCACAGAAAGAGGATTGCCCATTTATCCCCCAAATGGGCAGTTGTCATTGAAAGTAGGTGCTATATGAGTCGGGTGCCATGGTGTAGTAGGCTAAGCCTTTGCCTGTGGCGCCAGATACTGTCCAGGCTCCGGTTCATGAACTGGCTCCTCCACTTCCAATCCAGTTCTCTGCTAATGATCTAGAAAAGCGGATGGCCTAATTTGAGCCAATCCGAAGCCAGGAGCCCACTCTGGGTCTCCTACATGGGTGCCCAAAGGCTCGACCCGTCCTCGACTGCCTTCCCAGGCCACAGGCAGGGGCTGGATGGGAAGTGGATCAGCTGGGACACGAACTGGCACCCTTGTGGGATCCCGGCGCTTGCAAAGTGAGGATTCAGCCGCTGAGCCATCACACTGAGACTGAAGCTGGTGGACACTGAATAGGACCTTGACACAGGAGTAGGAACGATTAGAACTAGTTCCATTGATTAATGCCATCTCTCCCCGAAGTGACAGGTCATTCACCCACGCTAGGTCACCCTGGGCCAGTTTGACAAAATGACCAAGTTGAGCAGGACTAGAAGCACTGTGTTCAATCTGCCCGCCTGGTCACTCTGATAACGAGATCCTTCAGTAGGTCCTTGTGTGGTAGTCGCTGAAAAACCCCTCCGGGCTCTGCCCTAGTTTCTGTCTGAGCTGGATCCACAGCCAACCCCGACGAAGCTTACAGCAGACAGCTGTGCTGGGGTGAGGGGCACAGCTCTGTGACACCATGACGTTACTTACGGATGTGTACGTCATGATTCCGTCAGGTGTAGACACCTGCGGGAAGGGGGGGAGCACGCAGCCTCGGTGGGTGGTTGCCTGTGACAAGGGAAGTGGGGGGGTGGACAGGAATGGGGGTCGCAGCTGCCAATGCGTAACATGGTGATTCTTTTTCAAAGACGATCTGAAGCCTATGAAAGCATTAACTTTTTTCTTAAGTTTGGGAGTTTGTTATTCCCTCTGCTTTTCTTTGTCTTTGAAATATTAGACTGTTTTATAGAAAAAAAAAGAACCTTAGCTCAGAAGCCAGGAAACCTGCAGGTTGGCCTGACTGCTGCAGAAGTGTCAGTCTTAAGAAAGGCTGGGAAAGCGAGGGAACCAGAAAAGCAGTCTAGCCAGCCAATCTGTTTTTGTGATTCTAATGAAAAATTATTTTTGTAAACATTAAAAAAATTTTTTTATTGGAAAGTCATATACAGAGGAGAGACAGAGAGGAAGATCTTTCATCTGTTAATTCACTCCCCAAGCAGCCACAATGGCTGGAGCTGAGCCAATCCGAAACCAGGAGCCTGGAGCCGCCTCTGCGTCTCCCACGCTGATGCTGGGTCTTAAAGCTTTGGGCTGTCCTCGACTGCTTTCCCAGGCCACAAGCAGGGAGCTGGATGGGAAACGGGGCTATCGGGATTAGAACCAGTGTCCATATGGGATCCCGGGACATGCAGGCAAATATTTTAGCTGCTAGGCTACCGCACTGGGCCCTATACAATTCTAATAATCTGTCCATATGTAAACATTTCTGTGTTTCTGACAGAAGAGCTTTATAGCAGGGTCTGGTTATAGGGAAAGAACTCACTTGTATCCACACCTGTTTTTAGGTGTTATTTAAAATTCACAGTGTGCACTCATTTCATCCTTTGGGTCTTGCTCTTTGACATTTGAATCTCCAAACAGTTGAGCAGTTCTCTGCAGGCCTGTGTTGGAGTTCCCACTGTCCTCATTGTGTCCTGTTAGCCAGAGGGGTGGCTCGTTTCCTCGGTGATGTGGTGCCTTGCATCCCGCTAAGGGTTTGACATCATACCTATTGGATCCTCTGTTACTAGTAAAGCCTGGGAGGGAAGAGAGGTTTTTGAGGTCTGGCAGATTTCCAACTTCACCGTGATTTTTACTGGAAGTGCGACTACGGGAGCCAGGGTTCGCCTTACAGCCAGAGGGAGAAGAATCCCAGGTGATGCGATTTCCAAGCAGCTTGCTAAGACCTCGTTTCTAGGTTGACCTCTCCCTGCGTGGTGTTCCTTAGGTCAGGAGTCACAGCTCTCGGCTTGCCAGGGTTTGTTGTTTTCCCTGTGCGGACTTGGGCATCTCAGCTGGGAGCTGGAGTGCCCTCGCTTACTGCAGATGGGTTTCCAGTAGGGCAAGGCCGGCGAGAATTGCAGCAAGGGAGTTTCTTCTCTCCCTTTTAGCAGCCTGGACGGCCCAGCCTTTGTTTCCCCCCCCCCCCCCCCCCGACTTAACTTTGCCTACCCTCTACAGTCCTTCTTTACTCTAGGTAAACTTTTTAAGATTGTAACTGGCGGGCCCAACGTGATAACCTAGTGGCTAAATCCTTGCCTTACATGTGCCAGGATTCCATATGGGCACTGGTTCTAATCCTGGCAACCCCACTTCCCATCCAGTTCCCTGCTTGTGGCCTGGGAAGGTGGGGTGCGTGGGGGGTGAGGGGATGGCCTGGGGCACTCTCGGGAAACCTAGAGGAACCTCCTGGCTCCTGATTGGCTCAGCTGTGGCCATTGCGGTCACTTAGGGAGCCAACCAGCAGATGGAGGATCTTTATCTCCTCCTGTGTGTAAATCTGCCTTAACAATAAAAATAAGTAAATGTTTTAAAAAAAATTGGAGCTGGCTCCTAAATTTATTTGAAAGGTAGATTTGCAGAGACAGGGGCTTGGGAAGTCAGCAAAGAGTTGCTCAAGTCCTAGAGACCCTACCCATGTGGGAGTCCAGAAAGAAGCCCTGGGCTTCTGGCTTCACATTGGCCCAGCTTTGGTCTTTGTGACCATTTGGGAAGTGAACTAGTGGGTGGAAGATCTTTGTCTGTCTCTTCTTCTCTCTGTGAAAATCTGCCTTTAAAATAAAAAAAAAAAAGTCTGCAGAGAGAGAGAGAGAGGGTCCCCTGATTGCTGGTTCACTCCCCAAATGGCCGTAATGATTGGAGCTGGGCTGGTCTGAAGCCCGGAGCCTGGAGGCTTTTCTAAGTCTCCCACATAGATGCAAGCACCCAAGTACATGAGTGTTCCATTGTTTTCCCAGGTGCAGCAGCCAGGACTTGAACAGGCATCCATGTGGGATGCTGGCACTGTGGTGAAGACTTAACCCGCTGCACCAAGGTACAGGCCTTCGAAATTATTACAGTGTCATTTCACTTTGCAATTGCAAGCTTAGTGCTATCATAATCATAGGTGTATATGCATATCATGGCGTAGCAACTATAGGAAAAAGAAATTAATCAAGTGTAGACGCAGGCTGTAAACAGTCATAAACTCCAGGATGTTAATTTATAGAGACCGGTTAAATTTTTTTGTGTGTGTGCTATATGTATTAATTGCAACAGACCAGAGAAAACATGATATTTGTCTTTTTGGAACTATTCCAGTAAGAGTAGTGTTTTTGGGCCTGGCATGGTAGCCCAGTGGCTAAAGTCCTCACCTTG